GGGCTCAAGTTCCAGGGCAATGTGATCTTCAGGACATGGTGAGCCTCTAGTTTCGAGGGAGTCTGGGGAGCAGGTTGGTGGGGGCTGAGCGAGGCTCATGAGTTTGGGTACCTGAGTGAAGGTACTCATGAGTGAAGGACCCTGGGCTCATTGTGGTCTGCCTCTGATTAGAGAGATGGCCTGGGATTTGCTAATAGGCAAACCCTGAGTTCAGATCACAGCCCTGGGCTGCCCCTGAACTTGGGACTCTCCTTGGTGTGCCTTCTTGAACCTGTTTGAGGTTCCGACGCTTGTTCTGTGGGCCCTAGAATGCCGCCCCCATTTAGTCGAACACACCGAGCCCTGGGCCCTGGGATCAAAATCTCCAAGTAGGGCAGTTCTAGAAAACTCTTTACTCTTTGCAGGATGGGAGCGAGCATTTAGACAACCTGGGTGGTTTCTCTAATTTCCCCCAGCCGAGAGAGACAACGAACCATAGGAGGAGAAGCCCAGACTTTGCAATAGGGTGGTCTGGCTTTGCCCCGCCCCAGCTGGGTAACCTCGATCAAGCTACTCCACTGGATCTGTCTTCTCCTCAGTCAGAGAAGGGGGACTTAGTATCTGCCTGGAAAAACTGTGCTGGAAGGTGGACGAGATAATCTACAGGGGTTCCATAAGTGAGAACCGGCATTTTCCTGTGGAAGAGAATCAAGACAGGGGTATGAGTTGCACAACCCCCCCCACATCCCTTTCAAATCCCCCCCACAACAAAGCTGCAGCCTGTTCAGATACGTGTCAGATTGTTTGCCACTCATCTGCTCAAAGTCCCACACTGACATCTCACCCAGAGTCAAAGCCAAAGCCTCCACAAAGGTCACGGCCCAACTGAGGTCTGCCCCTTCCTCACTAGCTGGCTCTGGACTCATCTCTAACCACACTCCCCCTGGCTCCCCAGGCTCCTTGCTGCTCCAGAACCCTCTCCCCATCCCCACTCCTGCCCCACGGTCTTGGCACCACTATGCCCTCTGCCTGGAACGCATTTCCCCTTGACAACAACCTGCATGGTTTGCCCTCTCTCGTCCTTCCCATCTCTTCTCCAAGGCCACCCTGTCGGGGAGGTCTCCCTGGCCACTCTGTTCTAAACGGGGTCCTCCATCCTCCAGAACTCTCTCCCTTGTTTCATTTCCTGCAAAGCCTGCCTAGTCCCTGACAGACTGTGAATGCGTTTTGTAGATTATCTCCACCCCCAAGGATAGAAGTCCTACAAAGTCAGGGGTTTTGCCTATAATGTTCACATTCACGGCAATCCCCAGTGCCTAGGCATACAAGTAGGGGTTTCATGTTTGTTGAATGAATACCGGAGGACTCAAGTTGCGGGGAGGGGGGGTGGTGCAGGTCGGGAGAGTGAGTTGTGGCATGAAGGACACATGGTCAATGTCCTTTTTCTCCAAATGAAGGAGTTGGACTAGACCCCAGGAGATTATGAACCCCTGGGAACCCCTCTTGAGTTTCCTGTCTCCATGCCTTGTTCTGGGATGAAGGTCCCTAAGTTCTCGCTGACCTTTAACAGAGCTCAGCATTGTCCCTGTTCCCATGTTTCCTGGTTGGATCTAACAGGCTCAAATCCTTGCTAAGAACCTATGATGCTGACATTCCATGATCTTATTCTGGTCTCAGCAGCCCCAGTGGTCCTGGCCCCCGAGAGGGGAATGGGAGCCAGAGGGGAGCCTTGGCAGGGTCAGCACGGTGGGGAAGACACTGGAGGACACAAAGGAGACTTTCGTATTACGACATGTGCTACCTTCTTTTTATGTAAAAGAACACAGATGTAGGGAAGTATGACAAAAATGTGAACAATTGTCCACGCTGGATACTGGGCATGGGGGTGTTTATCACAGAGAGCTTTGTACTTTTTCTGTATTTCAAAAATTTATTAAAAAAAAACCAAATCCACAGATGTGGAGGTGGGCAGGGCAACCAGAGCTCGTGAGGAGGCATAGAGAAGCCGTTTCTGGGGGTGTCTGAGGGACCCACACTTTGGGCATTTTTCTGGTGTGTGTGCGTGGGCAGAGGGGACGGCCCGGGTCGGAGCGCATCCCGGGAGTTGTCGGAGCCCTTTCTTCCATCCCCCTTGCTCCCCCTTCCCCGGTCTCAGTTTCCTGCCTTCCTGGGGAGTAGGGAAAGGCTGAGAAGCCGTGTGCTGGGGAGAAGCTAATTCATTACTGACGCTCCACAAGGACCATGCGCCTGCCGTGCCGGCGTGATTCATCACCACGATTGCCCTGCTGCCAGCCTGCGTGGGCCCGGAACGCCAGCACATTTTACCTTTACCCACTGAGAAGGGCCTGGTGGGAGGTGAAGGTACATGATCTACCCGGAGCAAGAAAAAGACTCAGAGGAAAAAGAGGGCTGGTCCCCTGTGCCCTTGAACCCAGGAAGCTCTGCCAGGCTGGGGCTGGAGTTTCAGGGGCTCCTGGGGTTCCTGCCATGCCCGCAGAGCCTAGGAGGGCTGCCTGGTGCTGGCATGCCAGCTAGGAGCATGTGGTGGTTGGGGGGGGCGCGGTTTGGGCTTCCTCCTCCACAACGAATGTTCCTTTGGGGAACCTGCTTGGGGGGCGGTGGGGGTGTGAGGGGGAGGTGCTCATCCTCTCCCCCAGCAGCCTGGCTGGGTTTTCTTAAGCTTTTTGGTCTTTTCGAAAAAGTTATCCCGAAGGAGTAGAAGAACGAGCTGGATGGGGGCTTAGATCAAGTCCAGAAGGAGCTCAGAACCTCTTACACCCAGTCTGGGTCTGGGCTCCACTTATTCTCTGCCTGAGTCCCCTGCCTTGGCTGGGAGTCCTCCCTTCATTTTGTGAGTGCCCCCCACAGGACAGGGGGTGGGTGGCTGGGTTCCTGGGTCACAGTGATACCTTCCTCGGTGTCCCATCACCTGTCAACCCCATGCCTTTTCATCCCTTTATCCGACAAATATATATTGTGCATCTGAGCAAAAGAAGCCAGGAACCAAACAAAAAAGAAAAAAGAAAAGAAAAGAAAAATGTGGGAACTGAATAATTTCATTTATATGAAATTCAAGGACAGGCAAAACGGATCCGTGATGAAAAAGGTCACACTCATGGCTGCCTCTGGGAGGCAGAGATTGACTGAGAGAGGCTCAGGGGAACGCTGAGTGATGGAAATATTACATGGGTGTTTCCATTTGTCAAAACCCATCAAAATGTACACTTACCATCTGAGCATTTCATGGTATGAAAAGTTTGTTTCCATTTAAAAAATGTTAAAAGTTCTCACTGAATATCTACTATGTGCCAGACATGGTGCAGCAGGGCATGAGATAAACTTGTCTGCTCCAGGAGCTGACATTCCAGCTTCCAAGCGGTTCTCATGCTCTCCTGGCACTGGTCACTGCTCTCTGCCCCTGGGCTGGCCTCCCTCCCTGTCTGCAGTGGGGGTGGGGATAGGGGTGAGTCAAAGGTCGGGGTGCAGCTGGAGGGAGGCTAGAGGGAGAGTCAGATCAGTTACATGTGCACACCAGCCAGGTTCAAGTGGAGGCAGGATGGAACATGCGTTGAACCTGCGGAGGCTGCTTTCAAGCAGGTTCCCTAATCCCTCTCAGGCCACTTTCCTCCTCTTCTACATGGGTCTAATGATGCTTTCCTTGTAGTTTTGGCAAAAGAGTTAGAGGCTCCCTGGTGAGAAAATTCATTGTTTCTTTATGTTGGTGTGGTATGTGATTAGCAGCACAAACCCCGCTGCTCACCAGCCCGGTGACCTTGGGCAAGTCACCGGGCTCAAGTCAAACCCCTCAGAGCCTCAGTTTCTCCGCCTTTCATTTTGGGGTAATGAGGGTACCAATCTCAGACGTGTTGCAAGGACTCAGTGCAATGCTCTTAGTACAGCGCTGGGCACATGGCAGACTCGGAGTAAATGGGAGCGAGTGTTTCTGCCAAGAGCTCTGGCAGGAGGGCTCTGAACTGGAGGGAAGAAGGCAGGGGCACACAGCTGTTGGTGGGAGCATGCGCAAGAGAGCTGCAGAATGACAGTGGTCATCCTTGGTGGTGCTCAGAGCGGCTCACGTGTCCCAGTCCTCTGCCCACCGCAGCCACACACAGACCTCGAGCGTAGCTGGCGGGACAAGGCAGGAGACTGGAGCGTGAGCGCACTAACAAGGAACCTGTTGGGCAGTGGGAGCGGGGGATGGGGCGGATCCAAGCCCCCGTCCCCACAAAGCCTCCGATGTGACCCACCCTGAAAAGGGCCAGAAAGTAACACTGCTCCGAGTTACTATCCTAAAGTGAGGATGAGCGCAAGCCACTGGCGATGAGAAGCCGGCATTGACAGCGCCCCTCCGTTCCTCCCCGAGAGCCACGCGGGCGGAGTCCCGGAGTCCCGGGTCGCGCGCCAGGTTTCCAAGGTCCTCGGTGCCTTCTGACTTGCTGCTCCGGGTCCACACGAGCGCTCACCAAACGGCTCGTCGTGCTGGAGGTGTAGACAGCGTCGGACGTCGGGTCGGTGTTGGCACAGCGCCCGGCTTTCGGGACGCGGAGCTTGGGTTCTCTCGGCTTGCGCCGGCTCACCCGGGGGGGCGCGGGGGGGGGGGGGGGGGGGGGGGGGACGGGCCCGGGAACCGGGACCCCGCTCTGGTGGCACCTCGGCCCCGCCCCGCCCCGCCCCCCTCCGCCTCATTGGCAGCAGCACACGCGTCGGGGGTTGCCAGGGCGACGGGTCGCGGAGCCGCAAGTCAGCGCTAAGCCGAGGCAGTCGGCCTCCGGCGGAGGGAGCGCGGGAGGCCGGAGGGCGGGCGGCGGAGCGCAGCTGCGGGGCCCCGAGCGGGCGCCTCCTCCCGGCCCGGCCCGGCCCCCCTCCCGGCGCAGGGACAGGCCGGGGCGGGGGGCCCCGGAGCCGGCGCGGCCTCGGCCCCGTCGGGGAGGCCCCGGGGGCGGCCAGGGCGGGGCGATGCCGGGAGGCGGAGGCGGCGGTGGCGGCGGCGGCGGCGGCGGCCCGGGCCGGGGCCCGTGACCATGGGCATCGCCGAGTCCACGCCGGACGAGCTGCCGTCGGACGCGGAGGAGCAGCTGCGCAGCGGCGAGCAGCAGCTGGAGCTGAGCGGGAGGCGGCTGCGGCGGCTGCCCAGCGCCGTGTGCGCGCTGAGCCGCCTGCAGAAGCTCTACGTGAGCGGCACGGGGCTGCGCGAGCTGCCCGAGGAGATCGAGGAGCTGCGCGAGCTGCGCATTCTGGCGCTCGACTTCAACAAGCTCGAGCGCCTGCCCGACGGCCTGTGTCGCCTGCCGCGCCTCACGCGCCTCTACCTGGGCGGCAACCGGCTGCTGGCTCTGCCCGCGGACTTCGCGCAGCTGCAGAGCCTGCGCTGCCTCTGGATCGAGGGCAACTTCCTGCGGCGCTTCCCGCGGCCGCTGCTGCGCCTGGTGGCGCTGCAGTCGCTGCAGATGGGCGACAACCGGCTGCGCGCGCTGCCCGCCGAGCTGCCGCGCATGACGGGCCTGCGCGGCCTGTGGCTCTACGGTAACCGCTTCGAGGAGTTCCCGCCCGCGCTGCTGCGCATGGGCCGCCTGCACATCCTCGACCTGGACCGCAACCGCCTGGGCGGCTTCCCCGACCTGCACCCGCTGCGCGCCCTGCGTGTCTTCTCCTACGACCACAACCCGGTCACGGGGCCCCCGCGCGTCGCCGACACCGTCTTCCTCGTGGGCGAGGGCGCCGTCGAGCGCATGGCAGAGCGCGACGAGCCCATACCTCGGCCGCTGCCCCGGCGCCCAGCTCGGGCCTTTGAGGATGAGGAGGAAGAGGACCTACTCATTGGGGGCGGTGGCTCCCGGGCTCTGGGGGCCCCCCGGGGCAGCCTCCCCGCCCTGGAAGCCGCTCCGGGACTGGGCACCTGAGCCTATGCTCTGGGTGATGGACTTGGGCCATTCTGGGAGGAGGGGCTCTGGGAAGGTCTGTGGGAACGGCAGACCCCTACCTTGGGGCAGTGAAGGGGGCACTTTGGTCGAGCTATAGGGACAGGCAGGCCTGGGGGCCATCTTCGCACACTCCTGGTTGGTAAGCAGCCTGCCACCTGGCTGATCTCTGGGCAGTCCTCAGACTGGGAAGCCTGGCTCGGTCTAGTCGCCTCGGGCTCTGTCTAGTCTGATAGCGTTGCTGACAGCACAGCGGAGATGCTGGTCAGCGCTGTCCACGGCATCACCACCTTTGGCTGAGTCTGGGTGCCCAGAGTGCCACACCAGCCCTCCCTCTCCTGGAGTTTCGATCTCCTAAAGCCACCCTTCCTGGTGCAGGAGCCGCTACCTCTGGGGTGGACCACAGGCCTGTGTGAGCCCGAGCTGCCCTTGAAGGAGGGCCTGGGCCCCGCGCCAGTGCCCAGGACAGAAGTGGGAGAGCGGGATTGGGGCCCTAACACCCAAGCTGCTCTTGGCCCTCCACTGGGGCCCATCGCACATACCTCCCTTCCCAGGCCCCCTAAAACTTGCATGGGGTAGGGGGCGCTTAGAAGGCAGGGTCTTTACTCCCGCCTCTGATTCTGTTCTGTTCTCTCAGCTTGTGCCTGGAATCTCGCCGGGAGCAGAGAGCTCTCTCTCCCTTCCCCAAAGCCTGAGCCTTCCAGCTGTCAAGTTTGAGAAGAATCCACTGTGCCTCTAGGGCCTCCTGCGAGGAGGAGAGAGGATCTCTGCTCTGGGAGGCTGCTCCGGGGCCTCTCCCGTTGCCTGCACTCTCCATTCCCTTAAATGGGCACAGTCAGAGTGGCTGGCACGGCGTGGGGCACGGGACAAGCACTGTGTGCCTCCACTCCGTCACCAGGGACAGTCTTAGGGGGTGAGGAGTGGGGTGCCGCTCTACAATTCCCAGGGCCAGATCTTTCCCATCCAAGCAATAACGGAAGGTGGGGGCCAGGGCGGGGACACTCAGGGACACCGTCAGGGGCAGGGGCCCCACGTGGTAGTGTTTTCTTTAGGAAGAAAAAAAAAACTGGCTGTAAACATAAATTATATTTCTTGGAGAAAGAATGTGTGTTTCCCACATGCCTGTTTATTTATAAGTCCTGGGAGCACTGGGTCCCATGGCTGTGGGGAACCTGGGCTCCCTCTGGCACGGCAGTCCTGTCCATGTGCGCCAGCTCTGCGTCAGGCGGGCCGTGGCCAACAGTTGTGTCCTGTCTGGGGACCAAGTGCCTGCCGTCTGTTACAAATGGCTTTGGCTGCTTGAGACTGGTCTCCTGTCTTGCTTTCACTCACTCTGCCAGCCAGAAACCACTCTCACCTCCTTTTTTGTCCTTTCCAGCTTGCTTCGTAGGTTCCTGGCTCTTAATATAATGTGAATCTCCCTCAAGCTGGGCTGACCTTTCTCTCTCCTTTCACTGGCACTCGCCCCCCCCACCCCCTCGCCATGTGTCTATTCTTCCCTCTTTCCATATCCCTCACTCTGTTTTCCTTTTTCTTCGTCTCTCCCTCCTTATCTCTTTTTTACTCAGTCATGGTATTACTTTCTTTCCTCATTATTCAGGAAAAAAAGATTTAAAGAAAACATCATAAAGCCTCAAGCCTAGAGGCCCATCTCCCATGAGAAGATGCTGCCCGGCCACGGTCACCATGGCAACAGGGCTGATGTCATTCAAGGCCCAAAGGTCAGGTCCGGCCCAGCAGCTCTGTTGGTCACTGGGCTGGGCCTGGGTTACAGGGAGGCTTGGGATGGATCTGGGAGCAGCTGACTTGCAAGTGAGAGAAAAGGCCTTGAACGGACAGAAGGAGTGGGTGGATGGGGAAGACTGGAAGCTACCTCCTGCTCCAGGACAACCAGGGGTCTGGGGCTTGGCTGCAGAGCTTTTCCCTCCTGGGGCTCCTCAGGTGCCCCTGCTCCCCTGGCTGGAGCTCCATCAGGGTCAATGGTCCTTTCTGGGGCTTGGAAACTTGGAGGATGGAATTTTAGGTCTCAAAATCACTCGAGGTAGGAAGCGCAGCTGACCAGAGACTGTCCTCTTGCTCCGTGACTCAGACCACAGCATACAGGAAATAGCCCTGAGGCCAGATTCAGAAGGCGTGGGTTCCAGTCCTAGTTTTGCAATTGGCCAAGTGACTTGGAGCACGTCGTGGTCCCCTGGGCCTCAGTTTTCCCATCCGCACACACAGTGTTGGGTTTGTGTAGATGTGATGCTACAGCTCAGAACACCATGCAACCCGGCATTTCTCTACTTCCCTCCGTGTGAATCTGAGATGTAGGGGAAGTCGAGGTGTGGGGGTGGGGGGAACCACGGTCACTCTGGAGTACCTACTGGCCCCCATAACCCAGATTTCCTCCCTCTCGGTGTGTTTCCCTGTACCCCTTCCCCTGTTGCACCTGCCTGAGAACTCTAGGTGAGGCCAAGTCCCCATGCGTACCCCGGGGCCATGTGCAGGCACAGAGGGTCCCTACCGAACATGGCACCCTCATCCATGGCTGCTACCAGCCAAGCAGGGGCTGCCAAGGCTAAGTTTCTCTCCAGGGAGAAGAAAAACCTGTTGGGGCCCAGTTCCCAGCTTTTCTACTTGCTTTGCACCACCACCAGGAACCAGCTCCTCTTGGGAAATGAGACCGTTTGGCTAAAGTGGTTGCAGACTCCTGGCTTGAGAGCACTACCAAGGGTCTGGGTCTCCATCTGGAAATGGAGAGACCAGGGTAGGGAGGGGGCCGTTGCCAAGGACAGTTGCCAAGGACAGCTGGAAAGAGCACGGTATTGGGAGTCCTAGCTCACCCCTGCCCCAACTGCCTGTGACTTCTCACTTGGCATTGGGGGGAGGGGGCGGGGGTTGGGGAAGGGAAAAGATTTTTGGAGGGGAATTTGTAACAGTGGACCTGTCTACAGCACTCCTGTTGGTGCGGGGCAGTCAGTGGGGGGGTGGGCCTTGGGGGAGCACCTTGGAAGCTCTCCAAGAACTGTGTGTGTGCCTAGGGTTCAGGGATCAGAGCCAGAGGGCAGGCAGTGGTGACCGTGATGACAAATGAGCAAAGGCAGTAGCAGGGTGAGGGACAGGCCCCGGAGGGAAGGGACTTGCTCATCCATGGAGTTCAGGTCTCCTAACCTTGAGCTGAATCCACACCAAAGGAGATCCCCTCTGTCCTAAGCTGATGGTCAGGTTTCGGTGCGTGATGGGTGGGATCATGCCCTCCCAGAGCCTCCCTGCAGCAGACCTGGCCAGCAGAGTGGCGGAGACTGAGACTAGGATATGTGTGTGTGTGCGCATGTCCTTTCTTAAGTTGTGACAGTCATCCCCCGCTTCCCACCCACCCTCTGGGGCTTGGGAGAGCAGAAGGCGCTGCTCGGGACCTGGAGGCCATGCCCAGAACCCCCTCCTGCCTCCCAATACCACCATGCCATCTTGCCCAGCCACCTGTCCCAGAGCTTCCTGAAGACACTTGGACACTCTTCTTCTGAGGATGGACATTTATTAGCACACCTAGGCGTGCCACACAGAACATGTATCAGACAGGGGTCGCTGCCCAGGGGGGCTCACAATCTAAAGACACAAGGCACACACACACACACACGCGCAGGACGCAGACACAGGGAGTGGGGCATCTTCAAGGGACACAGATGGTCAGGGGAGCCACGGGCTGGGGAGTAGAGCATGATCAAGCGTGTCCTTCCGCTGTCTTTGTTGGGGACGGAGAGGAGAGCAGGACGTGGCCCAGGATGGCCTTCGGGAAAGCAGCAGCATCTGGGAGGGGTTTGCGTGGGGAAGAGCACACCAGAGGACGGGGTTCCCGGGCACAGGGAGAGATGGGCAAATCTCTTGGTGAAGGCATGGATGCTGGGAGAGCTGACAAGGTGAAGGTGGGCGAACCAGGCAAAAGGTCCAGGGGGAGCCCCTGAGCCCCTGAGGGGGTCTTCCCTCGGGCCCAGCTTTCCAGAGAGATCCTGAACAGAAGTTCTGGCAAGGCGTGCTCTTCAGGCTACTTACCTGATCTGAGGGTTCCCTCTAATCTCTGGGATAGAGATCAGAAGCCAAAAGAAGAAAACCACCTTTTAACGGGACACTGAAGCCAGGTTGGAAGAAATTGACGGAATGGAAGGGGACAGGACAGGTGGCTTTAGGTGGGGGTTCTTGGTGCATCGCAGGGAAGCAGTTGCCCACCCCAGGTGCTGGGGAGCAGGGGTGCGGTGGCACCCTTCACTCTGGAGGGGGCAGGGCCAGCCGCTGGCACATGGGGACAGACATGCACTTGCTCCTTCTGGGTCTGCGACAGATGTAGCACCTTCCTTCTAAAGTACCCTGAGAGCTGCCAGGCCTCGGCTTCCCCCAGGCTACGTGCGGGGAGGGCAGGAAATGGGCTGGGATGGTTATTGCTTTTTTGTGAACTAAGGACACTGGTCCTGGGGAAGGAAGTAACTTGCCCGGGAACCACAGTGGCTGGAAAAGGAAGACACTGGGGCCCAGTTTCCTCGGACTGGAACTGGCCATGGGCTCTTTCGATTTGGAAAGATTCTTCTAATCCTAAAGGATTAAAACCGAAAAGGGTAGAGAGAAGCCAAAGATCCAGCCAACAGACCTGGAGCTCCTTCCTGGTCCCCGAAACCACAATAGGCCAATCAGCATTTGGGGGGGAGAGGTAGGCAAGGTGGAGGGTCCTGGTTTGGATTGTCTGACCTGCCTTGGAGGGTGGTGACAGTCCCCTGGGAGCTGAAGGAGGTGATGCTGGGCTGGGTGAGAGGGTCTCAAAGAGACTCCACTCCCGACAAGCCTCGCTTCAGGTCTGATAGGGAAGTATGGCTGCTCTCCTGCTTTCTGGGTAGCTGGTGGGTTCATATTCTAGATCTGAGGAGGGGCTGGAAGGTCAGGGAGGGCCTCATCACCAGTGAAGCCAAATCCCAAAGGGGACACAGGGAGACTCAGTCCCAAGCTTCCCAACCCCCTCACCCAATACCTCTTCTCTGGGAGGTGAGGTAGGGCTGGGACCCACGGAGGAAACAGCCGAGGCCCTACTTCGTCACGATCCTTTATTGATCAGAACGGGCCCTGCCACAAAAAGCAGGGCCCATTCCCACAAAAATATGATTTTGCAAAGAGGAAATTTTGCTGGCTTAGAGGGTGGGTGTGGTGGAAAAATTTTGTATGGTTCTTTTTTCCTTTTTTTTTTTTTTTCCCCTTCTTCAGTTTTTCTTCATTTCTCTTTGCTGCATTTTTTTTTTCTTGTGATAGTTTCTGTCTGTCTGTCTTTTTAAAAACACTTGCACTCAAGGACTCCAACACAATACAAACAGTGGCCACCAACCCCACCCCTGGGGCCCAAGCCAGGCTGGGGACTCTGGGGGCCCCCTTGGCTTTTTTTGTGGCTGTTTTCCTTGTCCCTTCCCTGGCGTCTGGCGCCAGTGGGCAGGTGCGGGGTCCTGTGGCAGGTGGAATTTGTACAGCAGTTACGAAGGGAGATGGTCACAAGAAAGGATACCTGAACGAGGTAACAACTAAGTCTAGGGCGCCCACAAAGACTGCAGGTGATGCTCATGAAGGGACCTGGGACACAGTGGAGAAGAGATAGATGGGCCCAGGCCAGCCTCGGCTATCCCTGGAGACTCTGCAGGGGGAGGGGCAGGTGGGCCTTGCTTTCAGGCTACAGTAATAATACTTTGCTCCCGGGTAGCACCTTCAGAGTCCTCCTGCCTCAACCCCCAGGTCAGGTGACGGCGGCCTCACAACCTCCCCTATGAGGTAGGTGAAGTATTATTACCATCATTTTACAGATGGGGAAACTGAGGCCCCGGGAGTGTGGGTGATCTGCCCAAGGTCCTGGGACGGTGGCAGGGCTTCTGTGCCCTTCCCCCCATCCTCAAGTTCCCCATTCCCTGTTCTCCTCTGGCCCTAGCCCAACCGCGTCCTCACCGCATACCACCCGCCTCCTTCTTTGCCAGCCCACAGGACCTTGGCCCACCACTTGCCGCCCCTCCCCGGCCTCCCGGCCGCAGCGTATTGGGGGTTGGGAAAACCCAGGCAGGGTTCACCAGTATGCCTGGGTGGGTCAGACTGGGAACAGACTCCGCCCGCAGATGCTCTCTGCAGATGATTCGCCAAGAGCTCTGTGGGCGGGGCTCGAGGAAAAAAAGGTGCGGTTGCTCCTCCCACTCATTGCAGGTTGGTTCAATCCCGCCCCCACCCCCCGCCCCCAGGCTCCGCAGCGGGCCAGGGGACACAGGGGCGGGGCTGGCACCCCGTAGTGTTGGGGCACAGGATCTCAGGGAGCCATGGAGGACAGATCCCTCGCCTTGCAAGGCTTCCCACAAAACCCTCTGATCACGCCTTCGGAGTTGCTGCCCTCCTATCCCGCTGGGGGCTGGTCCCCAGGCCGCCCGATAAAGACCCTGCACTTGGGGCAGGGCCCCATTTTAAGCAAAGCTACAATACAGAAAAATTGGGATTTACAAGAAATATGGGTGACTATTTGCTTTACAAGAGCACTCCTGAATCTACAAAATGATTCACTGACACTGTATGACGCTCCTCCAGACCGTAGGAGGAGGGGATGAGGACACGGGTGTGAGATTCAGTGTAATACATTTTGATACGGGCAGCTCAAGGGGCAGTCTACTGAAGGAAAATGGCTCTCAAATTCCCATGCTTTTGCCGTGCTCTGTAAGTGGGGACCCTATCCAGAGTCTCCCCTTGGGGTCAGGCCCATCTCGGGGTAGAACTGTGGTCCCAGGCTGCCACCACAGACGTGGTGTCCGGGCGCCACCTGGCGGCCTGTGCCGGCAACGTCAGGCCCAGGCAGGCAGACCCCCCGGATTTGACTGTCCCCAGCTGTCTTTTATCAATACCAGGACCCTTGTGGGGCTGAGCAGGGTTAAGCAGAGATCATCCCGGCATCTGCTGTCTCCAAGGGGAGGCCAGTTCTAGTCTCTGCAACGGCTGAGGCAGAGAAATCCCCGCTTCTTTGGGTGAGGCAACCTCAGAACTTGCGGAATCTGGATTTTCCCTACTTCTTCTGCCTCAACTGAGAGGGCGGGAGGAGCTGCTCGGAGGGACTGGGAGCAATGGGGAAAGAAGGCTGGGCCACAGACCCCGACCCCAAATGGAAGGGAAGGTCTGCGAGTTCGGCAGATGGAGGGCTGCAGAGGTCTGCCCAGACAGGGAAGGAACCTGGGAAGCATGGAGAACACGGCCAGCTTGGCTGGGATCTGAGATCTGGGGCAGCTGAGGGTGTCTGGGTGAGGGTGTTGGGGAAGAGGGCTGGTGGGGCTGTGGGACCCCTAAGAAGGAAGGGAGGGGAGTCCTGGTGCAATGTGGTACACGCAGTAGGGGCCTAAAAGGTGTGAAATGATGTTCAAGTGATGACATCGCTCAGCAAGGAGCTCCGGGAGAGCTCTGAGCAGAGACAGGCAGGAGGTGGAGGCAGCCAAGTTCTCAGTCCCGCTCCAGAGTCTGCTCCTCTTCCGCCACCCCACCCTTCCCCTCTCACCCCTCACCTGCCTCTCCTTGCCCACCCCTGGCTCTGTGCATTGACCTCTCTTGGCCTCCTGTCCTACCTCACTTTATGAAAGCCTGCCCTCTCTGCACGGGCGGCCCCCAGGGGGACAGGGTAAGAGTGCCCCCCCGCCCCCCCCACACACAAAGTGGACGCGACGCCAAGTACATGGGCTTCGGCTCCAGGACCCTGGAGCGGGCTATATACTATCCTTGGCATTCAGGGCCCAGCTGGCACCTGAAACTGCCCTGGGATGGGCCTCTCCTGGCCAGGCCAGGCCAAACGCCTCGGCCTTCCTTCCCCCGGGCCCATATCGGGAGCTGGGGAGAGAGCAACTTCTCTCCACTCCAGGCACTGCCTTAAAGAAAACAGGGGACCGTGCCCACCTGGCGGGTCTCTGGAGGGGTCTGCCCATCTGCCTGTCTGGCCTTCACGCTCTCCCCCACTTCTTTAATATCAGCAAGTCAGGAAGGAAAGGGGCAAAGCAGGAAAATGGCTCCCAAAGCCCCTCCCCCAGAGCTGGACCGGTGGAGGATGAGGCTGGTACTTCCTAGAAACGGGGCCCAACGGACTCCTGGGACCCCTCCCTGGCCAAGCCCTCAGGGTCCTCCCCTCACCTATGGCGGGGGGCCAGGCCGGGCATTGTGCATAAAGTGGTGAGGGCATGATGGGGACCTGGGCCCTTGGCCCCCTGGGCCTCCTGTGGCCACACTTAGGCCTTCAGCTGGTGCCACTGGGCCACCGGCTGCCGTGGACGGGCGATCATGTCCTTCCAATGCTTCACCTCCCCGGGCCCGCTCTTCCAGGACAGGTAGATCTGGGGAGAAAGGGAAGAGCACGGTATCAGTGACACTCAAAAGCATTGTCCCCTGCCCCCGCAGGGGGTGATCTCCATCTCCTCAATGGCAGCCCGAGGTCGTGATCATGGGGACCTAGAGGCCTCTGCCTACAGCGACGGCCTACCCTCAGAGGCTCCCTCCTTCTCCCTCCTCCCCACCAGCTTGACCCATTTTCCTTGCTGTGCCTCCCTCTGGGAGCTTGGGCCTGCCTGGCCCTTCCCAGTTAAGACTCCTGACCTGTTTTACAGTGGGGGTGGAGGCAGCTAGGCCCAGCCCTTCCTGCCCTGCTGGCCACTGTCTAGCTCTTCTCACTTTTTTTTTTTTTTTTAAGATTTTATTTATTAGACAGAAAGATATCACAAGTAGGCAGAGAGGCAGGCGGAGAGAGGAGAGGAGGAAGCAGGCTCCCTGCTGAGCAGAGCCTGATGTGGGGCTCGATCCCAGGACCCTGAGATCATGACCGGAACCGAAGGCAGAGGCTTAACCCACTGAGCCACCCAGGTGCCCCAAGCTCTTCTCACTTTTGATCGCTCCCCTTCTCGCCACTTCCTGCCCGCCAGGCACTGAGGTCAGGAGTTTATAAACACGTCCCCGAATCCTTACCCATGAGGCAGGTATATTACTTACATTTTACAGATGGAGAAACGAAGGTGTGGAGAGCAAGAGACTCACCCAGAAGTTGTAAGTGGTACAGTGGAATGTACATCTAGCCCTTTCAGCCTCTGTCCTACCAGCCCGATCCCGCTGGCTTCTGTTTTGGGGGTTTTGCAGCCTCGTGGAACCATGGGCATGGTTCCCCCAGCTGACCCCAGCCTTGTGACTGGAGGCTGGTTAGAAGCCCGGGCTCACCAAGCGACTCTGGCTGGCCTGAGAACCCCTCCTCCTTCACCTTGGCTCAGGCAGCAGAAGGTGGGACGGTTTCAGAAGGGGCTATGATCGGTATCACGAGAACACCCAAATGCAAAAGGCTAAGCTTCCAAAGAGCTCTGAAGTAGAAAATGGTTACTTGGCCCGAGCTGGTCAAGGAGGGGGATCAGTAGGCCGCAGGCTGATGGGAACACATGGTCCTGCTAGGCTACAGGGGTTGCCACCCTGAGGAATGGTGCCACTTGTGACTACAGGTTGGGCGCTCAGGTTCCTGGGACCTTACCTGAAGGTCAGGGGCTTCCCTTAGGTAGCTAAGTTCTCCATCCCCAACTGAGAGTTGCCTCCATTGTGGCTCTCTTCCCCATGGGGGCCCAGGTCACTTGTCATTTACCCCATACGGGGCTGTGCCTCAGGGAACACAAATTTTTTCCTCCCGTGCTCCTGGCATCGGCCCTTCCCCTCCACCTGCCCTCCTCCGTGGCTTCCTGTACTGCTCCTGGTCAAAGCTCTGGATGCACAGACATGCCCTTAGTAGGAATGCTTCACGAATAACTTTTCTTACAATGGCAGCTAACACACACACTCAAAGCAGCATGCTAAGCATTTCGCCCATGTTGTCTTATTTCATCTCCGCATGCTGGGAGGTTAGCACTGTCTTACTTTCATTGTGGAAATGAAATGGGGCTCAGATAGGTCATGGCTGTCAAGAGTGGGGTTGGGGCCCAGCAATGTGATTCCCAAGCCCAAACTCTCCACACTAAACCATAAACGAACTCAGGGATAGACATTTCAAGGTAGAAAAACTGAAGGGATTATGTCACAGACTCATCCTGGAAAAACTCAAGGCCAGGTATGGATTTTTTTGGTAAGTCTATCATGAGGAGAAGTCACTTTCTACAAGGAGAACATCTGCAGATCTCGGGTAATCCTCATACCACCCTGTGAAGGGCTATAGGGTCGGTACTATTGGCTCCGTTTTATAAATGAGGACACTAGAGGTCAGAGGGACAAGTGGCTTGCCCAAGGTCACACAGCTATTTAGCAACACATGGGGTGGGAACAAAAGCCAGGTCTTTGGGGTCTGACTGCGGCTTCTTACACTGCTCCACCGAGCTCACCCTCTGAAGATGGGACCTGGGTGACACTGCTCTGAGGTCCTTACCCAGCTGGAGGGTCCTGTCCAGTAAACTCCCTTTTGGGGACCCAAGCCATGTCTTTCTCCCACTTCCTCCTTTCTCTGCCCTTCTAGTGGTCTGGACCAACCCACAGTAGGACACCCAAGGAAGATTTTGTCCCATCCTCTCATTTATAGATGAAATGGAAGTGCAAAGAGGGGAAGGGACTGGCCCAGCCCTGAGCTCACCCACTGCCCCTGCTGCTTCTTGGAAGTCAGGTGTGTCGCCCCACCCACCAGGCCCCTACCTTGCCAATAACATCATTGCGGCTAAGCTTGTCCTTGTCCATGACAGTGATGATGATGGTCGTCTCCCTCAGCTTCTCCGTGGGGATATCAAAGGCAAAAGACTCGTTGAAGATGGGGTTCAGGTTCCTCTTCATAGTCACTGTCTTCTTCTTCTCCACCCGCTTGTCTTTGTACATCAGCCACACCTTCACATAGGGGTCTGGGGAAGGGGTAGAAGAAGGGTCAGTGTTGGAGCTCCCCAGGATTCCCTTCCCTCTCCAGGAGTGGCAGCTGGGGCAGGAGGGGCTGCACGCTTTCCCCAGAGGGTCAGGAGAGCCCCAAGCAACAAGGAGAGGGATCTGGGGGACCAGTGGATAGATGAATTGGAAGGGACCTTGGCCATCACTCAGTGCCCTATTATGAAAACAAACAAGGAAACTGAGCCCCACAGAGGCCAGGTCTTGCCTGAGGTCACCCATGACAAGTGTTCGAGCTGGCGCTGGAGCCCAGATCTCCCACCACAGTGCTCCCCTTCTCCCTGATTCTGGTCAGGACGGAGTCCAAGTGATACAGACCCTGAGGGTGCTCCAAAGGGGGCCACCCAGGGCTCTAAGGTAGCGGAGTTGAGACAAAAGGTGGGGTGAGAGGGTCAGGGGTGAGTGCACAGCTCAGACCCTGCTCTCCACATCCGGCATGACCGTCATGTCCCCAGAACCTTCCCAGTCCCTCCCGCACTCTTGTCGAGAAGCCCCAGGACCTGAGGTGCCCCCGATGTCCATGGCTTTGAGGTTCCGGGCTTTGATGATGTTCACGATGATAGAGTTGGCAGAGGGGTTGTAGCAGAGAGACAAGAGCAGCTCCCCTCGGCTCCCCTGGGAGGGAAAGGCTGCGGGTGAGCCTGGGCTGTGGGGAGGGGTGTCCCCCTCCACTCGCCTCAGCTCCCCTGGGAGGGAGAACAGGAGCAGTGTGGGGACTGGGGGAGAGGGGAGGGTTAGAGAACTCTCTGGCTGGCTCTACTGCCCCAGGGCCCTCCCTGCCCGGGCCCAGGTGCTCACCCATCCCCACCTTTCACCTCTGTCACACCCGGTGTCCCCTCACCTGGCAGTTCCGTACACCAACCCCCATGGGGCCCCTCCTCCCTACACAGGCACCAGGTCCTTTACCACAGCTCAGCAGCTCCCACCCACCCTGCCCCAGGGCCAAGCATGGGTGCTGAGACCAAAGGTGGGAACTCTGCTCCCCTGGGTGCCCGTTTCCCACCACCCTCCTGACATTCCCAAAGTTGCAGGGGGACTAGGACCAGTTCTGCTGGCCCTGACCTGCCCGCCCCCTGAGCCAGGGAGCCATAAGTGGGGCCTTACACTCCCATCGCTGCATGGCTTCAGATCCTTCCAGAAGGTCTGCATCTGGGTCAGGTCCACCTTGTTGAGAGGGATGGACACCTCCCCAATGGGGTCATTGCGGCTGAACCGGTCATAGTCCAGGACCTGGAGGTAGAGGATCCTCTGCACCACCTTCTCGTACGGGAAACCTGGCAGACAGACGGCGGCTTGGGTGAAGCACAGGACAGAGGGGCCACATGGGGCCTGGGCATGGCGACCCCCCCCCAGGGCACCAAGTCCCTGTGAGGAAGCCTGCCCCCTGCTACCCCACCGAGGTATGGGAGGCAACAGCCGAATTCTGACCTTCCTGAAGCATTAGCAAGAACTGTCATGGCCACACTTTTCCCTCATGACAGCTCTCCAGGGTCGAAGGCATCTGATATATTTTACAGATGCGGAGACAGAGGCTCAGAGGGCTCATATCACCTGCCTGCAGTCTCCCAGCTAAAGAGCAGGCGGGACCATTTAGGCACTCCTGGGTCATGTGTCTGTCTCGGGGGCTGGGCAGGGGTCCCTCTCTCCCTGGGCAGCCCCGCCCCTGCCGATCTTGCCTGAAAGAGCCTGGGCCAGCAAGCCAGCCCCAGGAGGCCTCAGGCAGATGGGAGGGGCAAAGACACAGAAACAGGAGCGGATGTGTATCCTCAGACGCCACGCTTCCCCCTCCAGGGATCAGCCAGTCCTTCGCTTCCCCCTCCAGGGATCAGCCAGTCCTTCGCTGTTCAACAGATCCCAAAGCTATCCCCTTCTCCACGGCCACCTCCCTCATCCAAGCTGCTGGCACGTTCTAGACAGTCACCAGAGTTTCCAAACCACCCTCCCTGCCTGTGTGCTTTCTCCTACCATCCATTGTCAACACAGCAGAGTGATACCTTAAAAATAGAAATCCCATCGTGACACCCTCCTGCTTAAAGCTTTTCAGGGGCTCCCAGTGCACTTAGAGTAAAAGCCGCACGTCCTGCCTTGGCTTCCAGTCCTTCTGTACAACCTGGCCCGCTGTCCTTTCCCGGCCCCTCCTGCGAGCGCTTTCCACTCAGTGATGGGCTCCCGCCACACCAGCTTCCTTCCCCGAGTTCCAGCACCCGGTGTCTCCTGTCTGGAGGCACTTCCACCACCTGGCCTGGCCGAAACAGTCTCAGCATTCCTCCCTGACATCCCAGATGGCGTCGGGTCCCCTGTTCTAGATTCTAGCACTTTCTGTTCACATCATGCCACCACGGGCTGTTCACAGAGACTCCTCTGTTTCCTTGGGCCTGACTCCCACCAGGGTAGGACTTCCAGGAAGGCATCTCTGTCCTCAACCACCAGATCCCCGCATCCAACACTGTCTCTGGCACGTGGTAGGCACTCGATAAATATTTGTTTAAGTGAATCAATACTTGAAAGGATGAATAAATGGCAGCTAATGGCCTGATAGAGCAGCAGGAATGTGCTTCGGGGAGTGGGTGAGGAAGCTGCAGGGAGTGCCAGGGGAGGGAGTCTGAGGAAGGGCTGAAGCCAGAGTCACTGGACCTGGGGAGGCTTGGTCAGACGAGGGGCTAATCTGGGAGGCACAAAGCACAGAGAAGGTGCAGGTCAGCCTGGAGGCCTGAGGTGGTGAGATCCTGAACCACGGTGTGAGCGGGAAGAAGACAGGACCCCCAACACTTTAGCCTGGCTGGCGGAGAAGATGGGGGGAGAGGAAGAGCTCTGGAGCATTCTAGCACTTTCAGCCAGATGCTAGAAGCAAAACTGCCTCTCACAGGAGCGGGTGTGCTGGAAGAGGAAGTCCTGTGTTCCCCAAACCTCCACCCCCTGAATTCCTTCAGGCCCTCCTCCCACCGAAGGGGTCTAGGTCTTGTCTTGCTCATCTTGGAGTCCCCCAGGGACCTGTCCAGTGACCTCTGGCATTGGTTCAGGTGAACGGTTCTGGAAATGTTGGAGGCTCCAAGAGGTCCCCACACTGGAGTCCATTCTTTTCAACAGCAGAGGAGGAAGTCAGTCTCTTATTTGGCAAACACCTATTCATCCGTGAGAACCCATCCTGAATGGCCCCTATAGTGGGAAATGTTTTCTAGCACCATCAAGTGGAGAGGACAGTGGGTTCCCACAGCATCTGCCATGCAGAGTATGGCTTGATTGTCTACACACCTATGTCCTCCATTAGCTCAGGAATGACTTGAGGGACAAATGGTGCCTTGGTCTTTTCTGCACCCCCAGTACACAGGACAGTGCCCAGCCCATCGCTGGTGCTGGATAAATGTCTGCAGAAGAGATCAGGGGATTGAAGCTCTGCCCATAAATCTCGCCCCACCAGCTGGCCTCACACCCCTCCAGACAGCTGAGCCTCTCCCTGGTTGTCCCATCTCTAAACAGGTCTCCCTGCTGAACCGGGAAGAAGGGTCCTCCCACCCCACAAGCATCCACTAGCTCACCCTCGACGATTCATCTGAGGTGAGCTGGCTGTCACTTTGCAGAAGGGGTGGGGTGTCAAATGGCTGGGACACCAGGTGGGGAAGATTCCCCGGGGTGCACACTGAAAATTCTGGAACCCCGAGACAGATGGTGGTTGGAGTCACAGGGATTTATTTTCACTGGCTGAACATGTCGGGAAAGCATAATGGCTTCTCTACGTGGAGTCCACGCATCAAAAAGGCCTGGGACAGAAATGGCTCCCTGAACACAGCCCAGCTTCCTGGTTACCTTGGCGCCTCAGAGGTAAGAGATAAAGATGGCCTTGAGGGGGTGTGCAGGGGAGAGGAAGGGCATCTGCCTCAGTGGCTTCTAGGAACCAGGGGCATGGTTCATAGCTGCTGTCACCACGCGTCTGGATGTGGGGGAGGGGTGGGGGGAAAGGTTCAGAGAAGGGGAACGGACGGAGCGTCTCCAACAAACTGGTGTAAAGGGTCTTCTGGGTATCATAAGGGCTTTCACAAGTCACTGATTTGTTCCTCCTTGCTATTACTATCCTTCTTTTACAGATGAAGAAACCACTGCCCAGAGAAATGCAGGAACTTGTCTTGGTCACACAGCCAAAGAGGGGCGGAGCTGGGTTTCCAACACGCAGCCTGGGCGGTAGCCTAGACTCCAGGGGCTCCCCCTCTGGGTCCTGTGCGCGCCTCCCCGCCTGCCCGCCCTCCTCAGGAGGAGTCCCGCGTCTGCGCTGAGACCCCAGGTACCGGCTGCGCTGGGTTAGACGCAAAGAGCCTCGGGTTACCTGAGCGGTGACGGAGGTCTGTGTGGGTGAGGGCCGGGGACGCGCGAGTCTACCTGTGTGCGTGCGTGCGCGTGCGTGTGTGCGTGCGTGTGCGCGCGCCTGCGCACCGGTAAGTACAGGCGCCCCAGGGTGGGGGCGGGAGGAGAAGGCGGGGCTCTGGCTGGGGGCGGGGGCAGCCCCGGGCTCACCTTCGAAGAGGAAAGTCTCGTTCCAGTGGGGGTTCAGGTTCTTCCGCTTCACCTTGGTCTCCAGCTTGTGCTTCTTGTCCGGCAGCAGGTAGATCTTGACGAAGGGGTCGCTGGTGCCGCTGAAGTCCTTGGCTGGCAGCTCCTGGGCCTTCATGATCTTCACGGTGAGCGTGGACTCCTGGAAGTTGTAGCCGACACTGAACTGGATCCGGCCCAGGTTCTCCCGGCTGCAGCCCTCGTGGGCCTCGTCCTCTTCGGAGCCTGGGGAGAGCTGGGGGCGGGGGAGAGGCCGGCGGGGTTGGCGAGGGTTCTGCTCCCCGCCCTCCCCCGGGGCTCCCCACCACAGCCCAGCACAGTTAGGAAGCCTCCCTGGGCCTGAAGCCAAGCCTCCCGAGGCGAAGCGCTCGCTCTCCCTTTGGTCACCATGTGGGGCTGGTGGTGGCCCGTCTCATTCACGTTCACATCTGGGCGAGGATTGTCCCGTCACCCGGGAGGGGCAGAGTTGGGACAGCCCCTGCCCCTCAAGCCCCAGAGCAGTGCGCACTCTACTCCCCAGTCTGCCCTGGGTCTGCCCACGGCCCCTGCCCCAAACTCCCCCGCCCTGCTGCTTTTGCCTCCCGGGTCAGAGCTGCATTGATGTCCCCGCCACCCACCCCAGGTCCCTGAGCTCCCCCTCCCGCTCTCCCGCCTTCCACAGCCCAGCGGGGTCCACTGTGAAATGCACCAGCACAAAAGCCGGGGCTGCTGAACAGATGAGGGAGATTGTTCACATCTCAAGAGTTTACCAGGCTATATCTTTGGAAAGTGACTCTCTGGGGTTCTGAGAATGATGTGATTTACAAAATGACTTTTCAGCAGCAACGTCTGATTTGTGTAAGGCATAAATTCATGTGGGGATGCTAAAAATGCAGGTTCCCAGGCCCAGTGCCCAGAGAGCCTGATTGCATGGGGCTGGAGAGGGCCTGGGCCGTGGAGTTGTTTAGAAAGCCCCTCAGCTCGCTCTATTGGGGCTGAGGGCCACCAGGGCCACCGAGAGGAAGGGCCCCGCCTGTGTTCAGCCCCCATCTCCCAGGGGCAGGGCTCTTGGGCCCGCCCAGCATGGGACATGCACGTGGAGGCTGGTGTGGGTGTCCCCTTCCCAAGCTGACATTGAAAAAGTAGGGGGAGTTAATTGGGGGGAGTGTCTCCCAGCCAAATCTCAGCTGTGGCTGCTCATGGGAATACCTGGGGAAGTTTCTAGGTTGCCCGGGTCCCACCCCAGACCCAGGGGTCCTAGTGGCCCAGGCATCCCTCTCTCTGAAAGCGCCCCAGGTGACTAGATGAGAGCCCGAGTTGGGACTCGTGGTACCACATTTAGGGCGAAACTGCTAACCCAGTTTCTCTCCCACTTCCCCTACAGGAGCCTTCCCTGTGTCCCCTCCTTCCTCCTAGGCAGCAGCCCCAGGCTCTGAACTAGCAGGTAATACAGAAAATAAGAATATATATAGTGCGCACCTACCATGGCGGAAGACTTACATCACCTTCTTACTGAATCCTGACAACAGCTGGGTGAGGCGGTTAGCACCACTCCCTCGATGAGGAGACCGGCTCAGAGAGGTTAAGTCACACAGCCAAGATTGCACAGCATCATGGACCCTCTCTGACTTGAAAGCCCACTCTTTCCACCAAAGCAGTCTCACGTCTCAGAGCAATTTTGAGACATTCCCCCCCACCACCACCAAGCCAGCGAGAACTCACCTGCCCCAGGGGAGAAGATTCAAATCACTCTAAGAGCAGTAAGGACCAGGCCTGGCCTCGCCCTGTGTCCTGTGCTTGGCGCTCACTGACTCCCTCTGACATCTGGATGAGGCAGGCACTACCATGTACCAGTCGGGGTGGGAGCGCAGAGAGGTGATTAGCTTGCCCCAAGTCACCCATGAGGGAACAGGGAGTTAAAGCCCGAGGCCAGGTCAGTGCCCAGCCATCATGTGTGTCCAGGCTCCCCTCACTCTGACACTCAGATCCAGCATCAGGCTCCCCTCTAGACCCACTGAGAATGTTGCTTTACCACGCAGGGAAGGTTTCCCCTGTGCTCCTGTCCACTGCTGGTACCAGCCTCATTCCCAGTGCATCTTAGATGGCGCACCTGCAGGACGGGACTGTAAGATCCGTCTTTCGTGGTTCCTGGGATGGTGCAAATGGACTGTGGTCCCTCTCTAGCCCAGCCCCTGCCACAGCTGGCCATGGGACTGGGAGCCTGGGGCATGCATGAGTAGACAGAGCCAGCAAAGACCACTTGCCCCTCCTGTTCCTTCTGTAGTTTGGGTGGAGTCCCTAGTGACTGGAGCCCAGGGGACCCTGGCCCTCTCTGAGGTCTTAGTTCCCAAACTGAGTGGTTTAGGTTCCCAAACCAGGTGGTCTGGGGTGAGAGGCCCAAGCTGGGCCTGGCTCTATGCCTGTTCCCAGCTTTCCCAAACCACAGTCCCAAGCCCTAATTAACCAGCCGGGGCAGCTTTGAGGAGCTGTTTCCATGGCAACCAGCCTGGCCACCCCTAGCAGGGCCCCAGAGGAGGTGCGGCGGGAGCCCCCGCTCCAGTAGAAGCAGGCATCAAAAAACATGTCAGGGCTGGGGTGACTTAGATGGGGGTATGGCTTGGCCTCCTGTCTGACCCCTCTCCCTCAGTCCCTTCCTCTGGCCAGCTGTGGGCATTGACTCCTGACCCCCAGCTTCTGAGGGGCTGGGGCCTGCTTGTCTTCCGCCTGGGGCTGGGCCATTAGACCTTGCTTGCTCCCCTCTGAGCATCGGCTGAGCCCTGAAGCCCATGAGTGGGCCCTGGGGCCTACACTTCCTTCCTCTGCCTGAGGCTCAGTTCCTCCCTGGGGGCAGCAAGTGGCAGGCAAGCTGGCTGGGAATGGTCTGTTCCTTCTAGGAACCTAACTGTCAGGAAGCTGTAACCAATTAAGAGGCTGGGCAGGGAGGCAGGGTGGGCTGTGGCCTGGCCCATCCAGAGGACAGCATGGCTGGGCCCACCTATGTGGGTGGGAGAGATAGACAAGAGGGCCGTGGAGGGCCAGGCACGCAGGGGCCTATGGTGGGGGGTGGCAGGTAGAGGCCCAGGGGAAATCAGCTCTGGAACAGGGAAAATCTGACGCCTGAGTCTGCACCCGAGAGAAATGCAGATCTGAGGGACCACGGCAGGCCTGCCGACTGGGAATCTGCATTTTTGAAAATAGTTATATGTGTCCAAGTCATCTCTGTACTCAACATGGGGCTCGAACTCATGACCCCGAGATCAGGAGCTGCAGGCTCTTCTAACTGAAACCAGCCAGGCGCCCCATGGGAATCTGCATTTTTACGAGCTCACCCAGTGATTCATGTGCATATTATAATTTGAAAATCTCTGGGCAAAAAAAGGGGCAGTGGGGGTGGATGGGTGGAGCTGGCTGGAATCCTAACTGGCAGAAGGGCGGGGCCCAGGGGCTCTGGGGCCCCAGGGGAGCGTGGCAGCTGCCATGCCAGAGCCTGAGCAAAGGAACTCTGAATTGAATGATGTCCAGCAAGGGCTTGAGAGCCCACAAACTGGCTTCCCTCGCTCTACAGGACTGGGGAGGGACCCTCGGTCGAGGGAGCAGAAATTACTTGTCTCCAGTCACGTCCAGTAGGAACACAGCAGGCATCAGTTTCCCCAGCCTCAGACCCTAAGCCTCCTTGAGACTTGTGAGCTGACAAAGCCCTGATGGACGGCCACCTGCAAACCACCGGCTGCCCCATCATGGCGTCCTCACCCTGGGTTCTTCCCCCCAGCTCAGGAGGGGCACATGGCCATGACTCACTGCTGCCACCAGGGGGTGAGGCCTCGGTGCCTTGGTGGAAACGCCCCAGATCCATAGGGCTGGGAGCCCCGTGGAGCGGGGTGTGCACAGAAGACCCTCAGCACAGTCCCAGCAATCAGGACCTGGGGAGTCGTACTCTTCTTTTACCTTTGAGCCCCAGCTGGTCCCCAGCAATGGGGGCTAAAGGGAGGTCCCTGAGAGAGGGAAAATGAGTCCCACTCCACCAGGAGCACCAGCTCGGACCTCCCTTCAGTGGGACACTGCTCCAAGAGAGGGGACCCAGTCTGCCCCAAGCCTTTCCTCCTACGGATCACAAAAATATCTCCCATGAGTAGGTTCTCTTGGACCCCTACTCAACCCAGAAAGAGATGGGAGGAACATGGGCATTCTTATTCTCACTGGACAAATGAGGAAACTGAGGCACAGAGAGCCTGTTCTGGGGAAAAAGCTGAACAAAGAACCCAAGCCTTGCTCACTCAGTCACCATGCTGGTACCCGTACCCGCGTGGACAACTCCCACGCTGTCACCAACTGTCACACGCATCCCCTCCCTGGCCCCAGCCTCCCACTTCAGCTCCTGCCTGGAGCCCCAGCGCCCTGCTCTTCTCACCATGAGCATCTCACTGGTGAGGGAGTTGACGAGGTCCGAGACGGAGGAACGCGGCTCAGTCCGGCGGTCAGACTCATCGTGGGGTGTCTGGCCCGGCACCGGGGCTGTGTTCACTGCCTTCCCTCCTGCGGGCAACCTGGAGGCGGGGGGAATCCAAATGAGCGCAAGTTGGGAGGTGGGCTGGGCTGGGCACCTTGGCCGGGGTGGCAGCGGCACGTCCTCTGAGACCCAAGCAGCCACCACCTCCTGGAGGCCAGCAGGAGCTATGCTCTGGTCCGCAGGGAGGGCTGGTCTTCCCTCAGACAGTGCCCGGGGCCCATCTCCCTCACTTAAGCGCGATCCAGGTAGACTGCCCCTGTGGGTACTCCCACTCCTCCTGTTCCCCAGGAAGCCCCCCACCATCCGGTCACTGCCTGCATGGTGGTCTCTGAGCGTGCCCCTGGCAGCCCTCATCACTCCAGCCTGGCAGAGGAGGCTCCCCGGCATGTCCAGGTTACCCCCTGCGTCATTACCCTCTGCAGACACGCCCCGGGGTGTTATCTCCCAGAGGCCCTGCCTGTGTTTGTTCAGCCTGAGAACGCAGGTGCCCTTCAGACCCAAGAATGACCAGGTGAGGTCAGGACTACTGCCCACACAGCTCTGGCCAGTAGAACTTTCTACGATGGCAGCCGTGTTCTATGTCTGCACTGTCCCTATGTGGCTACTAAGCATTTGAAGTGGCCAGTGCGACTGAGGGCAGAGTATTTTGTGTCGTTCGACTCAAACTAATTTAGATTGAAACAGCCACCTGTGGGATGGGACGAGTCTAAGCCCCCTGCTCCCCAGTCCCCACCCGTCTCCCGCTCTGAGGACTGCGCGTGGGATACGGCTCTCACCCAGGGTCAGAGAGAGATGGGGCACCACCGAGAAGCCCCGGATCTGACCATTCCGTGCGAGGCCCTGTGTGCACCCCGACTCCATGCTGCTCCTGGGAAGCTGGGCTCTCTGGCCTGGCAGCTGGGTGGTGAGCCCAGGCTCTGTCCAGCTGGGGCTCAGGAAGGGGGTACTATAAGCCTGCCCAGGGACCAGGCTGGAACATCTCATGAGGAGGATAGGTGGGGTGGGCAGCGAGGAAAAGACAGGAAGTCCGGCAGCGTGGGGCTCGGGACAGGCTGCAAGAGAACAGCTCTGAGAGTCCCAGAGCCTCAGACTCGGGGACACACGCAGGTGAGACACACATCCTCGGTACGGACCAGCGGGTGGCACACAGTTAGCCACGACAGGCAGACAGACATGCACGGAATCTGTCACGCCCTGGAGGGGAGTTACCAGGACCCAACAGCAAGGTGTGCACATGTGCGTGCACACACGCGGACGTGCGCACGCACACACACTAGTGCACACAAGCCCGACAGACACCCGGGGGCACCCGGGAGAGAAGGGCACAGCAACGAGGCAGGTCGACCACAGCAGTGAGATGACACACACAGAGCGATGCACACTTAGATCCCGAGAGGAAACATCCAGGGAGACCCAGGCATGTTGAGGTGTGCGTGGGACTCGGGACCGGCTGAAATGGGCAAGAGCAGGGAGACGTGTCAGGGACAGACACCCTGCGAATCAGACGCACACACACCTGCTGCGAGAACCCGGCCCTGCCTAGATAGCACGAGACATCCTGCCCTGCCTGGGGCCACCCCAGGGTCCCTCCCAGAAGTGCGGCCACAGCGATGCACGCACACATGCGCACACACACAGGGACACACACTCGTGGACACGTGCGCACGCAGACAGGCACGGGGAGGAAGAGGACACTGAAATAGCTGGAGAGGTAAAGTCAGGTTAAAAATAGAGTGGGACAGGAGGAGAGCGCCAGATTGACTGCTGAAGGTATGAGAAAGTCGGAGTTATTTTGGCCACACCACAGCATCAGCACAGCTGCAAAGCAGCCTGGGAAGATGGTCAGCGCCACTGAAGCTACCGGAGGTCATGGGACAGAGAGAGACAGAGAGACAAGTGCACAGAGAGGCAGAGGGAGAGGCGGAGGGGCCCCGTCACTGGCCCAGGGACATCCCTGTGAGAAGCAGATGGGAGGAAGGAGAGGGGGAGAGAGAGAGGCCAAGAAAGGTTAGTTGAAGACTAGTGAAGAAGGCTGCAGGGTGCACAAGGGGACGAGCGAGGCGGCCGAGAAGAGAGGCAGAGAGGAGGCGGGGGACACACACCGGGACAGAGGAAACATGGTGGTTTTGGGGCGAGGAGAGTGATGGGGGTGGCCAGGTCCCTGCCCTGCCCCGCGCCCCACTCAGGTGGGGGTGGGGCCACGGTGGACACCATTCGGATCCCAAGGAGCGATGGAAGGGATGGCAGGGAGCATGACATGGGCATGGATGCAGGGCAGGATGGGTGAAGGCAACGGGGAACGGGGGCCAGGGGTAGTCCTGGCCTCCTTCCTTCCTCCCTCCCTGGTCCAACAGCATTCTGTTCTTGGGGCCCACAGAACTGAGGCTAAGGGACTGGGAGATCCTGGATGGGGGACTTCCGGGCCACCAAGGATCCTGGGAGGGAGGTAGTGACCAACCTTCCCATCTCCATGTTGCTCGCTAGACGCACCCCTACCTTGTTTGGGAATTGGAATGGCTGCTCCTCTTCCCGGGGCCCTCCTGTCGCCCAGGGACCTGCTGCTGACAGACCTTGGGCGCTGAAAGTCCTCCCCAAGGACAGCCAAGGGGTCAGCTGGATGGGAAAGGGTGGGGGGATCGGGGCAGAAGGGCAGACTCTGGGTCTGGAGGCAGTAGCTGAAGAGAAAGGGACAGATGACCCAAGCCCACCATGCCAAGGTCCAAAGAGCCAGGAGTCTAAAGGAGTAGAGCCCTAAGGTGCTGGGAGCCTGGTGGGATGCTGCCAATCCTGGGGCCGGGGAGAGTTCTGGGAAGGAAGCCCTCAGTGCCAGACACCTTCTTAGCGCCCGGTCGCCTGGGAAACACTCCAGAGGCCCTGAGATGGACGGGGTGGGTGTGACAGGGTGGGAATGGCATGTGTCCACCAGGAGAGTTAGGCAGGGTGGGGGGTGAGGGCCCATGGCCTCCACCTCCACACCCACCCTTCCCAGGAAGGCAGGGACAGCTGATGTAATGGTCAGAAGGGATGGGCGTGTTAGAATACGGGCGGGAGACCTTCATGGCAGAGGTAAAAAGAGGCTGTACGTGGAAATGGAGCCAGCTAATGAACACAGCGGTGATGTGAAATCTCGTTTCCAGCCTGCGTCGCCTCCTGCACACTTCACACCTTCCCCCGACAAGGAGCTCGGGTTCTCAGCAGGCTTCCAGAGGTCTCCAGCCTCCTCCTGCCTCCTCTCCCCCATGGCCCCTGGCTCCTTCCCCGCAGCACTCTAGCCTACCCAGGACCCAGTCCAGGACTCCTGGGGTGCCAGGTGGGCTGGAGGTGGTAGGCTCTGTTTCTCCCACCCCCCCAGGACATGGGCTCGGGTGTGATACCATCTGTGCCACTGAGTGAAAGAACCCGTCCCGCTTTTCCCTCCCACTCTCTGGGAACTTCTGACTGTGTCCACCATAGACATTCAACAGTGAACTTGGAATAGGAAGAAAATGCGAGAAGCTGCTGGAGGGACAGGCAGTTCGCTAACTCTTGACCTATCCTTCCATAACCCACAGGCCCCTGGTGGTCGCCTGGGACAGTCTCCTCCTGCCTTAAGGGGCTCAGGGAATGTCAGGATCCCTGCCCAGTTCACAGGCTCTGACAGGTGCCCCCCGCCTGAGTGTCTATGAGAAGCTTCGCATGCCCAAGCTGGAAGGGGTCACCCTTTCCAGTCCTCCATTCGACAGACAAGGAAGCAGAGGCTCAGAGAGGGGCAGTGACTGGCCCACATCTGAGGAGCGTGTTTCTGCCACAACCAGAACTAGAAGGCCGGCATCCTGGCCGTCAGCCCACATGCTCTCCGGGAGGCTTTTGGTCGTGTCGAGAAGCAGACTCGACTGAGGTGAGGAGCCCTCCCTCTGCGACTACAGCTGTGCATCTGGCCCAGCCCAAGGCCAGGAGACAGGCGGCAGCCACACCAAGGGCAGGCTTCCTCCACCTTGGTGGTACTGCCCAAGCCTCCGACCTTGCCCCGTTTCCTTTCCCACAAGTGCTCCACGCCCTCCCTGAGACAGGAGGTACCAGTAGGTGCTTCCCTGAGTTCCTCATGGTCAAGACTATGGCTAAATGCCCAGCCCTCTTCTTGGCCTGTGTAAACAGGGAGCCTAGCCGGCACCCATGGCCTGCTCTCGGACCCTCCCCCTAGTCCCTCCTCCTGGTACCTCAGGTTCAGGGCTGCCTCTCAGTTCTTTCTGGTCACCAGGCCTCTCCCACACCCCACACCCTCCCACCAGGGGTTCTTCTTCAATCAGCCAAGCAGCTCAGCCACACCTGTGCAGTTCCCCTGCGGTGACGGGGTGCTACCTTCACCCCAGCGGGACCTCCAGGCAAGAGGGAGGTTGAGGTGGCGGGGATGAGGGAGAAGAGGCTTGTGCCCCTTCCCTACATCCCCCCTGCCCACCAACCACCAGAGAAACTGGGATTTCGAGGTCGGGGGTGGGGCAGAGATGGAAGATGAGGGGCAGCAAGGGAGGAGGGAGCCAAGCAGGGAGATGGGGCAGAAAGGTGGGCTTGCTCCGGGCGAGGGCAAGCATGCCTGGGGAGCAGGCTTGATCCAGAATGGTCCCAGGATGGCCACACTGGCCTCGGACCCAAGGGACACCCGGGTGTGGCGTGTGTGAGGGTGCCAGCTGGGGAGGGGGCTGTTCTCCCGCTCCAGGATCACTGAGGGCACCGCCGCCTCATCCAGCAGCCGGGCCAGGGCTGGTGGAGGCCGGCAGCCTCTCCACGCCTCCATCTCTGCTGCTGCCGCTGCAGGCCCTTGCCTGTGCTCGTACCTCTTGTCCCCCTGAGCGTTCTGGTTCTGCTGGGTTCCTGGGTTTTGCAGGTCAGGGATATTGGCAAAGTCATCCTGTTCCGAAAGCCCTAAGACCAAGGATAGCACCACCATCCTGCCTTCCCTGCCCGAGGTGGGCAGCCCACCGGCCGGGAGGAAACGAGGAGGCCCCACGGGTTGGGGCAGGGAGGGGAAAGAGAGAGACAGAGACAGAGACAGAGACAAAGAGAGAGAAGAAAAAAGCGTAAGAAACTGGCCCTGCAGGAGAGAAACCACACACTTTAGCACTGTCAATAGTTGTAGAGCAGAGTCGGGTGGACGTGGGGACGGAGGGAATGAGGGGAGGTGTCCATGGCCTGAGACCCTGCCTGCCTCGGGGCCAGGGAGCAAGGTGCTCTGGAAAGACTTGGGGAAGGGGCTGGGCAGAAGCCCGATGAAGGGGCATGTGCCCAGGACACTGCTGAGGAAACTGTTAAGGAAGGCTGGCAGGGGTGGGGTGGGGGAGGCCAGGGGATGGGGGGAGCATATGCCCTGGGGCACTCGGACTTCCAAGGAGAACTCATCTCCAGTTGAACAAAGGCCAGAGGCTTTATGCTGGGCCCCTGGGAGAAGAGGGAGGGGCTCCATTGCCATCTTGCTTTGGGAAGGGCAGGCAGGTTTGGGCTCCCAGGTGGGAGGTTCTTAGAAAGTCTGGAAATCCAGTGGGCGCTGCACCTTCATTAAGACATCTCTAGGTCATGGTCAGCCAGATGTCCTTGACACCAGGAGGGGTCCCTGAACACACAGCCCATCAGAGGAGAATGGAAGTCCCTTCTGGTTTGTGGTGTGCTGGCCATCATGGGCCTTCTTTTGAGTCCCCCTTCCTGGAAATCCAGGGAAAAACCACCAAGGCTTTTGAGTCCAGTTCAGGGGCCTTTCCTTGGAGAAACAGTCCAGAAGTCACCAAAAAGCAAAGGTGGAGAGAGAGAAAGAGCAGGGACCTGGCCAGGTCTGGAGGGAGCCTGTTTCTGCAATGAGGAAGATCTGGAAGAGGCTGAAGTCATTCTGCTTTGAGGGATGCTCAGTCCAGGCAGACCAGGAGCTGGCATGTGGGTAGCAGCGTGGGGCCAGAGGTCAAGGTGTGATGTTTTTCATAGGCGGCATTCTCAGAGAGCTCCGTGGCAACTGCGGAGTCACCCTGCATTTTCCAGGGACGGAAAGTGACCTGCTGCCCCACAAAATCATCAGAGTTCATGGGCATTTTCTGGGTATTTTGTGGAGCTTATCCAGCTCTGGGTCTCTCATCCAAAAGAAGAGGAGGAAAGCATGTCTCAGGAAGGGCCAAGGGAAGAATGGTAAGCCTGATGAAATATTCTGGAGAGGGGGATCTTGGGTTGGGAGATCTGCCCTTCAACCACCGTTATCCCGTTCAGGGAGAGGCGGCTTTGGTTATTTCCTAGAGAGGTTGTCAGAAGGGAACTCAAGCAGGTGACACGTGGCACCTGGGGGGGCTGGGCTCGGGGAAAATGGGAGATGGCAGTGGGGGCCCCAGGGAGGGGAGGAAGCCAAGTGGTTGCACTGCCTTTGAGATCATACATCTTTGTCCTGGGCACATTACTCCAGGTTGACACTCCCGCTGGCATCTAACTTTTGGGTAACAACTCCCTCTTCCCTCAGGACAAATCCTCGTTTTCTTTGTTCTCTGCCCACCGGTACTGTTTCAGAGTTGGTAAAATTCCATTTGGCTGCTTGGGAGCTGGTGGAGCTGGGGGAAGGAGAACCCAACGAAAACAACATGTTTTTCCCTGGTTAATGCATTTTCCAGATACTCCTTTTGCTCGTCTTGAAAACAAAACGGCTCTTCTGCATAAATTCCCAATTTGTCATTCTCTCCAGCAACACAGGCTGCAAGGGTGAGAACGAGGGGCAGGAGGAGAGTCTGGGGAGAAGCTGGTGGTATTGGTGGGGTCACACCCATTAAGCAGGAGGAACACCATCCTTCCTGCAAGAGGGGGTGGGATCCTGGGAGGTCTGGCTAGCCCTCCCACCCTGGCTATCTCCATAGACCAGCAGCATCTGGGGCAGGAGAAGGGCCTCAGAAGCACACCAGCTAAACTGTAAGGCGGAGGTCAGAGGTGGGCAAAGTACAGCTGGTGGCCTGGCTTTCTACAGCCTGCAAGCTAAGAATGGCTTATGCATGTTTAAAGCATTGCTTTAAAAAATGTGATTGAGACCACGTGCCCCACAAAGCCTAAAATATTTATAATCTGGTCCTTTACAGAAAAAAAATTTGCTGACCCCTGCTGGGAAGAATGACAAGTGGAGGAGGGGGGCGGTGGGTGATCTCTAGTGGTGACCAGCAGGCAAGGGGCCCATGAAGCAATGGTGGGCATGGCAGTGTGGACCGTGGATGCTGGCCCAGCAGTGCCACTCATCAAATCCCAGTCGAGCAGGGGCACAGCGGGCAGGGAAGAGTCGGTACACGGAGGCTTTCCTGCAGCCGGCTCCCTTCTTCCCAGGGCCTGGGGATGGCTCCTACTCCAGTTCTGATGGCTGCTAGAACAGATAGCAGGGTGAGAGCTGTGTGAAGAGCAGCCGGAGGGCAGGAGGAGTGGAGGGGTGCAGGGGCTTGCCGGTTCTCAGTTCTGTTCAAGCCGCAGAAGAACCAATTCCCTTGACTCTCCTAATCTGCACCAGTGCCATCGTATCCGTCCCCAAACCAACCACGGCCTGGAAGCCAGGAAGCTCGGCTGGGCATCCTGTCTCATGCAGGCACCAGCTGGATTCCCAAGGGTCCTTGGGTGGGGGAAAGCCCCAGCAGATGTGCTGCCTGGATGGGCCAAGTAGGGCACGGGCAGCATGGACGGCCAGGCCAGGGCAACGGGCCATTTGCACAGGTGTGGGAAGCTGGCATGGCAAGGCCTCTTCTGTTGGGGTGCCTCTGCCAGGGGCAGCACTCCTGTCTGCACTGGAAGCTTGGGCTGGGGTCTCAGCTGGAGAGGTAGGAAGCTTAGAGGGACCTGCTTGCCTTCAGAATCCCCACCATCTTGCCAATGAGCTGCACCTTGATCTTGGCCTTCCCCTTCCTCCTCCCTTTCTCCTCTCCCAGGCTTAGTGCTGGTCTCTTGCCCCATGAAAAGTGCTCCCAGGGAAGACCTGGGCGATGGAAATAATCCCCAGAGCCTGGAAGGAAGGTCATGTTAGGCCGGAGGAGGCGAGTGATATCAGGGACCAAAGCCCAGGTCTGCCTGGGCTCCGAGAGTGAGTGCAGATGCCCAGAGCGATGCCAGAGAGAGGGAATGCGCAGTGGGCAGGGCTCCTACCTGTGACAGGGCAGGGGCAGGGGGCCAGCATGGGACTGGGGTGGGGGGAGATGAGGAATGGCTGCAGTTAGATACCCGAGGTGGGTGGTCACTTCTCAGGCCTGTACACTTGGAAGAAGCCTCTGATTTAGAAAGAAGGTTTCCTAAAGCTTTGGGGGGAACATCTGAGGTTTGTCCTCAGGGGATGGGTCATTCTGGGAGCCGGAGGACAGGTGGCTGTAGAAGGTCAGAGAGGCAGAGGACAGGGCTAATGGCAGGAACAGGGGAAGTGAGAGGGAGGGAGGAAGTGCGGGCGCAGGAAGGTGAGCAGAGTCAGGTTACAGGGAAGGGGTGATCTGGAGGCTTGGAGGCAGGGCCCCAGCCCAGGTTTGGGAGGAGGGGAGGAGGCTGGCAGGGAGGCCGGGAGCAGCTTGGGACTAGCCGGAAGGGGAGGCAGACCTGGCGGCCTCACCGGCATTGTCCAGTGTCCCCGATGACTTTTAGCGGGGGGTGGGGGGGACCTTCTCCGAGCCCCGGGAGGAACGGAAGTGGGGGAGTTGGGGTCTTCACAGGGGCGGCCCAGATAAGAATCCTTCCATGGGGGGGCTTCAGGCACAAGCCTTGAGCCACAGGAGGCTGGGGAGGGGTGGGCCGAGTCTGCTGGGCACCCTGCCTCAGAGGCAGAGGGGCCACGGAGGGCCAGCCGTTCCCCAAGGAGATGAGGGGAGAGAGGCTGGGTTGGGAGGTGGGGGCCAGCCCGCTCAAGGGGGGGACTTACAGGAAGGATTTCATGTCCAAGCCTCGGTTTCGAATCTGCCCCACCACGTGGTCCCAGCTGCCCGGGTTGGAGCGGCTGCGGCCGCCGGCCGCCCGGTACTTGGAGCCGGCGGAGGTGCCCTGCCGAGCCTGGCCCCGGCCATAGGCCCGGGGGTTGGGGCCCGGCGCCGAGGCCGCGTGGGCCTGCAGCTGGCCCAGGCTCTGGCTGGTGGTGGGCTGGCTGGGCTGCCGGCCCCGCTGGTGCTGGCTCAGCGGCTGCTGCAGGCTCTGCTGCCGCATCAGGGTGCGGGGTCGCTGGCATTTCGGCTCTCCCGTGGAGCTGGGGATAGACTCAAGGGTAGTGGCCGTGGACAGGGTGGAGTCCTCGAAACTTGGGGCGGGTGGAGGAGAGGAGAGAAAGGAGAAGCAGGTGAAGGGATCACAGTGGAGGAGAAAGAAGCCGAGGGTCAGGACTAGGAGGCCCCAGTGCAGGGCGCGCTCTGCCGGACCTCGCGGGGCCTCCATCCCGGTTGTCGCTGCCGCGCCGTAGCTGCCACCACCTCACCCGGGAGGCCACCGAGCCCCGTGCCCGCCCCGAGCCCGCCCCCACCACCACCCCTGGGCTGGCCCTGCCCAGCCCACCCCACCCTCTGGCCTTAGCTTGGCTGGCGGACAAACGCCTCTCAGACCGTGGGAGCTGTGCAGGCTGCGTGGTGAAGGCGGCCCCAGGGCCCCGGACCTGGTGTGCTGGAATGGCGCGGGGTGGAGGGAGCAGCCGCCGCTCCCTCCCGCCGTGTCGCTGGGGGACCCCAGGAAAGTCTGCCTCTGTGATCTAAGTACGAATGGCCTTTGGAGACATGAGGAAATCCAGGCCAATGCAGAGCTGGCCTAGTAACGTGTGACGAGACAGGGAGAGGCGGCCTTTCTTATGCTTGGGCCACAGAGGCTGGGGACCGTCCCCGGACACCCTCTGTCCTTGGGCCTCTGCTGGTTGCCCTGGCTGTCTCAGGACTGCAGACCTTTGCCCTCCTTCCAGGGTTCCTTGTTTCTGAGGTGCAGTGTCCCTTCCTGATTTCTTGGGAGTGACTCCCAGTCAGAGGAAGGAACCCGGGAAAGGATCAGATGAGGTGGGAGCCCCAGGAACCACCTGTCTGGTCACTTTGCCCCAATTCTGATGGAGGACAGGGTGACTATGCATTTGGAAGAGGGCGCCCTCCTAGCAGGCCCACCGGCATCCCTGAAAAATGCTGGTAAGGGGGCAGGGACAGACGGGAAGCAGGACAGGGCTGATCAGAGGCAGGATGAGGTCAGAGGAACCTGGGCTCAAGCTCCAGCTCTGCTGCTTCCGAACCACGGGACTGTGGAAGAGCGAGCCCACCCCTCAGTTTCTTCATCCGAGTGTCTTCATAAAGCCCGGGCGAAAATCATCCCTGAGCTGCCTCTGTCCCAAGGTTGCCATGGGGACCCAGTGAGGTTGGGCCTGGGGACATGTATTAGTTAACGGTTCCCCATGCCAGGGGTACCTGCAAATGTCTCAGGAGACGGAGGTAGGAAGAGTCAGAGATCCCTGGCTTCCCCAGGCAACCTGCCTGCTTCGTTCCTCCGGCCAGAGACACGAGCACATCCCACAGGCAGGGCCAGAACCTCAGAGGTCCCAGCCTCCTCCTCTGTCCCCTCCCTCTGTCTCCCAATCTAGTGGTCAAGGGCAGGGGTTGACAAACTGTGGCCTGTGGGCCAAATCTGGCCCACCCCTTGTCTTTGTAAATAAAGTTTTACTGGAACACACTAATTTACATCCTGTCTATGGCTGTGACAGGCTTGAGCCGGCATGAAAGAGACTATGTGACTTGTGGAGCCTAAAGATTTTCTTTCTGACCCTTTATAAAGAAAGCTTGCCAACTGTGGGTCTAGGGCCACAGGGCAGCCATGTCCCCCTCCCCGCCTCCCCGCCCGGGCTGTCTGCGGGAGGGGCTCCAGGGCCCTTGGAACCACTTTCACCACTGCAACCAGACCTCAGCTTTGCTCCCCCCGAGCCTACCCTGGGAAGCAAAGGACAACAGTTAGGCTGCCCCTATGGGCTAGAGAGAGAGAAAGAGAGAAAAAGAGGGAGAGCAAAAGAGGGAGAGAAAGTCAGAGAATAGAAAAGAGAGAATGAGAGAGAGAGAGAACGAGAGAGAGAGGAGAGAGAGAGAGGCAAAACATGGCTTTGGCTGGGAGCTGGGGTCCTGGAGGGGGCAGCAGTCTTGCCCAGCTCGGGCCTGCAGCCCGGGTTACCACCAGGGTCAGACCAGGTAGGCCCATAGCTCCCTGTTGGGGGGCGGGGTGGGGGAGGTGGAGGCAGGGGAGGACGACACTTGGACGGCCTCCTCCTCCTCCTTGCTGACCTCATTTTGGTTTCCTATCACATCCAAAATTAGTCCAATTTACAACCTCTCAGTCCCAGGAAACTAAAATTGGTGCCTCCAGGCCTGGAGCCAGCGGATGGCATGGAGGCTTCAGCCAGCCTGGAGTCTGTGGCCAAAGCAGGCTGGGGAGGGCAGGGTGCTGGGCCTGGCTCTCCGGGGAGTGTGGGGCTTCCCTCTGAGACCTTCCTGAGGCTCAAGGGAGAAATCAGCCTGTGTGCCTTCAGGCCGGCAAGCAATAAGGTCTCGGCACAGTGGCCCTCTGTGGTCCCAAAGCAGGAATCATGGGCCTTCTGAAGAGAACCGGGGCGGGGGGTGTGTGCGGTGCTGAATGGAGGCAAGAGGGCAGCCCCCAGCTAAGAAGGGGTCAGGGCTGCCAGTCTTCTAAGTGAGAGGCTGTCTGCTCCCTTAGCTGGGAGTGAGGCAGTTCTAACAGCTGAAAATGGAACGTACGTCCCAACGGGTGAGAATGGTCATAGTTCAAAGGATTTAGAGCCTGGAAAGGCTCAGCTGTGGGGAAACGGAAGTTTCTAAAAGCCAAGATGAGAATAAGGCAGCCCCATGGTGGGGGAGGAGAGAACATACTTTCTGCTGTGAACAGGGGCCAGCCCTGTGTCCGTGGCCCAAGAGAGGGACGGTCTTGTCTGGAAAGCTCAGAGAGCTTTTAAAAAGGAAACGGCTCTTCTGTCTGACATCCAGACCACCCTCATCAGAAAAGAGAAGCTAGCTGGGGCGCTCAACAACCCAACCACCAAGAACACACCACCCACCACCTGACAGTGGGACAGCTCACTGCCCAAGACCGGGACAGCCAATGGGGATGGCTGAGATGAGGATGGCCCCATGGGGACAGCCCAGCTGCTCAGGGTGGGCCTGCAGGACAGACGGGGGACTGGTGTGAGCAAGAGTGGGACAAGCCGATGGAGGTGCCTGATGGTCAGAAATGGAATGGCTCAGCCTCTGGGTCTAGAGCCACCTGCCGGCTGTAAGGGGGAAGGCTGGTGAGTGGCATCGAACACAGGCTGAGAGTGGGCCAGCTCCCCAGGGATGGGATGGTCCGATGGCTGAACGACCACGGGTGGCCCACAGAGGGATGACCTGACAGCTGGGATGGGGCGGCCAGTCAAAGAGGATGGGATGACCTGAGGATTGAAATGAAGCCGCCTCAGGGGCAGAAAATGGAATGGCTTGGTCACTGGCAAGCAAAGAGACTGATGGGGGCAGCAGCCGGAGGCTGGGATGCGACACAGTATGGCTGTTGCGCCCGATGGCGAGGATGATGTGTGTCTTGTGAAGGAATGGAATGAGCCAGAGGCCGAGGACGGCACCTCTGGGGGGAGCAGCGGGCGTGCCGGGGCGGGGGGTCCCGCTGTCCCCGCTGGCGGGGGGCCGGCCCGAGCTCACAGCTCCGGCTCCGGTGGCCACAGGGCCATGACTCACTTGGACAAGTTGAGCTTCCCTGCGGCCAGGTGGCTCTGCACCGTCCGCCAGCGGCCTCTCCCCGCCTTGCCACCGCTGCCCGGCTCGCTGGGGGCAGCCCCGCCGCTTCTCAAGGCGTCCTCTCCAGGTGGTGGCACCGGTGCTGGCTTCTCCCCCGGCCGGCCTTCCCGCTCCACCGCCAGCCCCGCCGCGGCGGCCACCTTGGCGCCCGACAGGAGGGTGCCACTGGAGGCGCGCGGGCCAGAGGGGCACCGGGGGTGGCGGTGGGGGGGAGAGGGCGGGCCACACGCGGGGGCGGGGGTGGGAGAGGGAGGAAAACAATGACAGATAAAAGGAAGAAAGAGACAGTGAGAGAGGAGGAGAGAGACAGACGGACAAGAGACAGACAGAGAGAGAGAGAGACACATCAGCACTGCGAAGTGGGTGAACAGCAGAGCCTGCAGAGAGGAGAGAGGGGGCCGGGCGGGCTGGGGTCGGAGAACAACGCACCACGACAATGGAGGGGCGGCCCCTCCCCACCGCCTGGGGCAGGGGCGGCGGGGGTGGGGGGAGGGCAGCCACCTCCAACTCTATCCCACAGGACAACGAAGGGTTAACGACGGAGGAAGAGCGGGCTGTCCAGGCCAGGAGGCCCCAAGGCAGGGAGAAAGAGAAAGCCGTGTTAGTCAGAATTCATCACCCCCACCACCGTCACCGCCGTCACCGACCACCGCCACCGCGACCACCGACCGCACCGCGACCACCGACCACCACCACCGAGCAGCCTGGGCAGCGGCACACAGCAGGGAGGAGAAAGCGAGCCACACCAAGAGGGAGGGACCAAACGGGCAACCCCATCCTGACTGTACAGAGAAGGGGGTGGGGGCCCGCAGGGGACCCACTGTGGGGGGTAGGGAGGCTCTCCTGCTCCGCTGGCCCTGGGAGATGGGGGGGGGGGGGAAGGGAGAGGGGGCGGGAGGGAACGGGAGGGAGAGGGGAGGCAGGAGGGGTTGCTCGTCTCCATGGTCGGCCTGCCCATGGGTGCACCGGTCGGGGGAAGTCGGGGACAGGAGCAGGAGGGGAAGTGAGGGCGTGCGCAGATACTCGGTACATAGGATCAAACCAGGTAAAGTCACTCACTTGAGGGACAGTCGTGGGTCGCCATAAGGGGCGTAGGGTGAAATGTTTAGAATAAACTCCTTGGGAGGATAGGAGCTCCATTTCTGCTGCACTGTGCTCTCATTGTTATTCCAAAAGTCTCTGTCTAGATCGCTGGAGGGGCAGAGAGAGAGGGGAGAAAACAGGGAGATACAAGAAGAAACAAGAACCGCAAGTCCTGCGGGGGCAGAGGGGACAGGGGCCCCGGGGCCGCGCACACAGAGAGCGGAGAGGGCCAGGGTCTGCTCCTGCGGGAGGAAGAGAGGGGGCAGCTGCGCCCCATGTGGACGTGCACACACGCGCCCGCACACGCTCACACGCTCGAGGGCCGAGGGCCGGGAGAAGCCACGCAGAAAGGAGGCGAGCTGCTGGTGGGCAGGCTGGAGCCTCGCACCCCGGGAAGCTGGTGGGAGAGAGAAAGATGGTGAGAGGGGAGGAGAGGAGAGGGGGCTGGGGATAGGCCTGGGGGAGGATGGTGTGGGGAGTGGGAGGAGGAGAGGGTGCTGGTTTCTGGCTGGAAAGAGCTGAAAGGTAGATCAGACCCTGCTGCTAACTTCTCGGGGGCGTGGGTGTGGGGGGCCCACTGCTCCTGGCCTCAGGTTCCCCACCTGCGAAACCAGAAGGTTGGCCAGAGCCGCTGGGCTGTTGATTTTCCCATAGCGGAGACCCAAAGTTCTCTCCTCTTCCATCCACCTCCACTGAGCCACTCCTGGGGCAGGCCGTGCTCCCGGCCCATCTTTCTCCTCTTCCCATTGGCCCAAGTTCCCCCAGCCTCCTCTGCTCTCTCCCCTCCTAGGATACAGCTTCTGCGGGAGCTTGGTGGATCTCAGCCGAGCTGAGGATAGGCTCCTCATTGCAGATATGGTGCTTGGGTGACCTCTCAGAGAAGAGAAGGGTCTCCAGGCCTCTGACCTTGCTGAGGGTGTGACCAGAGTCATCCGCAGCCCGTCAGGTCCAATGTTTTGGGGCCTGTGTGGAGGGAGACTGCCTTTCTCTCTGGGGGTTGATGGGCAGACTCAGCCCCAGGCCTTTGACACGTACCTGACCTGCCAGCCGGGGTAGCCTCTTTCTGTGCCCCTGATCCTTTCCAAGGTGGAGCTGTTAGGTCTGGAAGGGACCCTCTGACCCACTCTTCCCACCCCCTCCTGCTCTGAGACAAGTCACACCAATGAGGCAGATAGGCTGGAAGAAGAGAGAATATGGGGACTTCTGCTGGGGGCTGGCTGCAGAAGCCTTGGCCAACAGAAGGCACAGCCTGGAAATCCTAGGAGCCAAAGACAAGGGGCTCCATCAGCTTGTCAGGCTCCTGGGGCCCTGAGGAGCAGGCCTGGGAGCACAGGGAGAGGAAAGGCAGAAGAAACAGGCCAAAGGAACATTCTAGAAGGGAGTCATGCCAGAGCCCTCAGAAACACATCTAGGGAAAAGGGCCCTAGGAGGTGTTGGGGTGGGCCTGGCCTGTGCTGAGGCCCTGCCACTGCTCAAGGCCAAGGCAAGGGCCGTGTTGTGGGGGAGGCACACCCTCTGAAGATGGAGCAAATGTGTTCTTGGGGGACCTGCTTCTCTCCCCCACACCCCACACCAGAGCTTGACCTTGACCTTGGTTCTCTGTCTCAGACCTGGGAACAAAGGAGAGAAGCTGAGTGGCCACCACAGGCCCAGAGGAGATGGTGGTCCTGGCCCAAGAGGGGTGTGGGCAGTGTCTGTCTGTCCAGAGTGCACATTAGAAACGTCTCACAGGGACTCTGTACACAGGGTTCGAAGCCAAAGTCCTGAGTCAGTCTGTGAAAGGCACAGTGGAGGCTGAGGTGGGAGAGGCAGGACAGGCCCTCAGTACTAGGAGGCCCCTTCCTGGAGAAGCTCCCTCGACAGAAGACCCTATTCCTGCCAGAGACATCCTTTGGTCCACCTCCCCCAGTGTTACAGAGAGATGGAACAAGTTGGACAGCCTCCCTCCCCTTGCCCCTCCAGATCTCCAAAATCAAGTGTCCTCCAATTCTAGGTCCTGCAGAGAAAGAGCCACCAGGGTCATCACTGCCAGGCTGGTTTCCCACCCTCTGTTCCAAGGAGCTCCAGGGTCCCTCGTGTAGTCCGTTGCGGTACTGGAAAAGACCATCTTTAATTTTAAAAGTTTGGGACACACAGGTTCCTTTCCTGCAGGACTTCTCAGAGGCTTTAATGTATCAACGAATACCCTAATCTCCAAGAGGGGGATAGAGTGTGCAGTGCTTCCCAAACTTAGTTGGTCACGGAACCCATGAAACCTCAGGAATTCATGGAACAACCAGTAATCATTTATGGAGTGCTTTGAGGAACACAGTTTGGGAACCACTGCTAAAGAATGCAACTTCCCAGAATCCTTGACAAAAGATCCCTTCAGAGGAGGTCCTAAGTGTCATGGGTAAGCCCTGCTTCCTGCCATGTGATTGGCTTTGGGCCCTGGCAAGAGGTAAAGGCCTAGGAACCTAGGGGCATGCTGAATGGTGGCTTCCCTCCCCTGAGGCAAAAGCTCTATAGCTCAGCAGAGTGGGCAGAGGCAGCCGTTGCCCTCCCTTTGTTTTCGAGAACATTCGAGTTGCCCTCCCTTTGTTTTCGAGAACATTCGAGGGTGCTGCCCCCGCCTGCAGAGCCTGTCCCCCTTGCTGGTCATCCCATCTCCTCTCACGGGCCCTTTCCACGACTATCTAGAACATATCCATCCCCAGGTTATGGTCATTCGGCAGACAAGTGCCCCGGCCCAGCTGCTAACTGGGTTAGGGGCCTGGTATGGGGACCCCACGTGGTCCTTCCCCACCTTTAGAAAGCCCGGGGCCTGCACTCGGCATCAGCCCCTGAGACCTGCCAGCTCTCTGCTTTGAAGACTGGAGAGTCTGCAACCAAACCACTTCAAAGGCTCCCCGAGGCCTCCTCCTGAGCCTCCTCCCACCCCCAACCTCAGCAGGCCCACCCCTCCACTTGCCCACGCACCCCCCCCACCACCACCACAAGGCACACGCCAGGAAGATTCTGTGAAGGCCCCAAACAGGGTCAGAGTAAGAGATGAAAACAGAGGAGGAACAGCAAGGAAGCCCTCAGGGGCAGGGGAGAAGGGGAAGGGAGAACACAGACAAGAAGGAGGGACTAGGCTGTGGGAAGGGGGCAGAAGGCAAGGTGTGGGGCGGGGATGGTGCAGGCCTTGAGTTACAGGAAGGAAGTGGGGGTCAGGGAAGGTTGGGGCGGCTCCCCTTCAGGCAAAGCCCCTTGCTGGCAGGCTCGGCCCTCGCTAGGCGAAGGTGGAGGGGAAGGCCTGGGTTCATTAGAGAGGAACCTTCCAGAGAGAACCCTCCTTCCCAGAGCCTCCAGCCAGGTGGGGTGGTTGGTGGTGGGGGCCGCCCTGCGTGTGTCCCAGTGACCTCTGCCGTGGGCTGGCCGAGGTGGTCTGAGGAAGGCAAACCCACCTCCTTGAAGAGGGATCTCAGAGCAAAACAGGGAGCCTGGGGGAGTCTGAGGCAACAAGACAGGCCGTGGGGACCGGGAGTGACAGGGAAGGGAAGAGTCCCCACTCTCTGCTTCCCAAGTGGCCCAGCACTGAGGTCTGCCCATCTTCCAGGTCACCCTCAGGACCCTGGTGAGGCCTTAGAGAAGAGCCTGAGCCCCCCAGGAGAGGGGATCCCAGCAGGGGGCGGGGGGCTCGGATATGCCAGGGAGCTAGGAGCGTGTTGGAGATGGCTGTGATGTGAGGGGATATGGAGGAAACGGCAACCAGGGTCGAGGGAGGAGGCAGACAGAGCCGGAAGTGACAGCGGCGGGAAAATGGAGCTGGGGTCCTTGGAACCTTGTGAGGGTCTGGGGTGGGGGGTGGGGGCACAGGCAGAAAAGCTGGAGCCCGGAGCCACCCTGAGGCCGTAGGAGTGTGCGGGCAGGGGGCAGGGAGAGAGAATGGCGCCCCATGCGAGGGGGAAACTGAATGGGTGTGTGGCCAGCTCTGGGGAACGGGAGGCTTCTCCCACATGGGGCTGCCTGCGTGTTCCCTCCCCAAACTCGAAGCCTGGAACCTACTTGATGGCCTTCTTCTCACTGCGCCCACGCCCTGAGTCTGGCGTGCCCACGGTCTCCAAGGAGTTCTTGTAGCGTTTGCCCTGTGGAGACAGCATGAGGGTCACTCCGGGGAGACAGCACTACGCCCTCCCTGCCTCCCCAGCACGGGCCTGGGTGGGGGCAGGGGGAGTAGGCTGGGGCCCAGCCTTGGCCACAAGGATCCAGGGGCCCTGTGTGAAGCTGTCACCACCATGGGGGGCCAGCTCCACTGCTGTCTCTTTCCCCTCTGGTAGCAACTTGGTCCCATGAGGCCTGAGGACCGACTCTGCCCCTCGAAGGGCACCCCAACCCTGACCCCCAGGGATGGGGCCCCTCCTTTCTGCCTGTCTCCTGGGGCTCTGGGCTGACTCCCAGAAACACACCTCCCTCTGCCACGGACAGACGGCTCTCAGGCGCCTGGCCACGTCATATGGGCCACGTCACCACCCCCAGATGGTGGGGGTGGCATCCTGCAGGGGCAAAGTTGGCAGTGGCCAGTGACGTGAATGGTGGGGGCAGGGAGAGGGCCCCGTGCCCAGTCCGGCCCAGGACCGGGTCCAGCACTGTCTGGGGGCTCCCTGGGGTCCTCCTGCCTTGGGCAGTGAGGCAGGACAGGGCCCAAACACTCTCCTTTATAGGAAGGCAGCCTCAGGAAGAGAGGCTGCCCACTGGCTCTGAGGCCGGGGCAACTTGGCCCGCGCCCCAGAGTTCCTCCCACCAGCTTGGGGTGGGGGGAAGGCTGGGCAGGCCAGGCGGGGGGGGGGGGGGTCTCTAGGTCTCCTGGTGAGAAGAAGGGCCGTGCCTGCAGTGGGGACCGGGCCTGCTGCTGGGAAGGTGAGCCCCATTCACCTTCTCAGTTTGGGTTTCTAAATTTAGCTCCTGCAGAGCCGGGCACCATTAACATTCCTGGCTGCCACCGAGCGTCCTCACGCGCACCCGCGGGCCACGGGCCTGGGCCCCGGGCCGATGCGTGCAGTGGGGTGGTGACAGCCCAGACACCCACACACACCCACACACACACCCGACATGTGCACACACATCTCCCCACCATCCTGTCCTGTGCTCACACCGCGGCCACGACAGTCTACCCTCCCTGAAACAAACGAAGAGCCACATAGCCGTGTCCCCAACACTCCTGTTGGCTGCAGCCCCTTCCAGGCCCACGGAGTGAGCCTGGCAGAGCTGGCGGGGCTCCCCAGAATGCTGTGGGCAGAGGGGCAGACTCCTCACTCTACCCCCAGTACCCCCAGGTCTCAGGGGTGCCTGGGTCCTGGTCCCAGCAACGCCGCACCCTCCCCGGGTCACCCTGGTCAAGTCCCTTGTCCTCTCTGACCTCCTTTCCCTCCCTTCTGAAAAGGGGTGTTGTCACTGGACAAGCCCCAGGTCCCTCATCCTTCCAGGCTCTCCTCACAGATAGGACAGGTTCTCTCCTGACTCACTTCAGCAGCCTCCCACCCCCCACCCCCCAGGGGAACGCAGCCCGAAACATTAGGGACTGTCTGGTCTCTAGGACTCGGTGTGGAAGATAGTATCCAGCGATGCCCAGAACGGGTCCCCTGGGAGTGCCCCGGCCCCCTGGGGTCTCAGCCCCAGGCTGTTGCCTCTGAGACAAAATTTTGAGAGTGAAAAAAACAGAGCTGTTGGTTCCTCTGAGTCCACAAAACCTGTCTTCGCTCTCTCCCATCATTACCCAGAAGTTCAAACCCCCAGTAATGCCTAGTCCAGACTGGGACAATCAGGGCCTGGAGCTGCCCATGCTGGCCAAGGGCCCTTCTCCAGACAGGACACAGGGAGAAAGAAGCCCCACCCCCACCATCCCCCCCAAATCTCCCTCACTTCAGGCGGTGTCCGGCAGGGACGACCGGGTTGAGGGCCCCCCAACCCCACCACTTACTCCCTCTCCTCTTCCTCTCTTGGCAGGAGAACTCGTCCTAGGGAGCACTTTCTTCTAAGGGGGAGTCAGCTGCCCCTTCCTGGAGGCCCGGCATGGCTGGGGGCATGGCTGGGTGGGCTGTCCCCAGTGCAGGCAGGGCCTGCCTCTCTTCCTTCCACAGCACAGAGAAACTTCCCCTCTGGCTGCCATGGTCAGTCTGCAGCAGGAGCTGTGGGACTGTGGGGGACAGGAGCCAGGGCAGGACTTGAGTCGGTGTTGGGGGGGCAATGACAGGAAACCCAGGCAGGGTCCAGGAGACCCTGGGCGGCTCTAAGGGAAGCCAATCCCATCAGCCTGCTTCTCAGGGAGGGGGTTGGCCAGGCTGATCTGGAAAAAGCCAGCTGGAGATTAAGGAAGTTATTAATGTTTGGAAATGGGATCTGGGCTGTCGGGGTGTCACACCACTATCACTGCTGCTGAGGGGACAGGCGGGCAAGGAAGGCCGAGGAACTGTGCAAGGGGCATATGAAATCCCCTCCCGGAAAGCACAGAGGCAGCCCAGGCAGAAAGCTCCCAGCAACCCCCATGGAGGGCGGTGGGGGAGGAATTGAGGCAGGGCTGGGGGGCTGGGCAGCTCGGGGAAGAAAGTGGCATAGACCAACTGCGGCTGGGACCCCCAGGGAAGTCCCTGGCTGGAGGCTGGGAGGACAGACTGGGTCAGGGGAGGTGCCTCCCATACTGGCGGGTCCCCCACCAGCTATGAAAGCTGTGATCTTTGAACACTGGTCCCCAAGTGAGTGGGGTAGGGGAGAGGCCCTCACCACAAAACACACACACACACACACACACACACACACACACACACACACTGTAGCACTCACCAGGAGAGATCAGGACAGTGGCTATCAGCTCACTCAGGTGGAGATCTGATGGGATGCAGCACGCCCCACCAGGCAGGGATGAACACACACACGCACTGCACCAGGACCCTCAGAGTGGCCCATTCAGCACACAGACCCCCACTCAAGGTCACGGGCAGCGCCTGCTCACACACCTTCCTCAGCCTTCAAATGCGGACTTGCACACAGACAGCGGAACAGACCCGACAGGGGTGGCAGGGCACGTGCGCACGTGTGTGTGTGTGTGTGTGTGTGTGTGTGTGTGTGTGTGTGCGCTTAGCCCCTCCCCTGGCCTCGGAGGACGCTCGCACACACGGGCACATGGCCAAGTCCCCTCCTCCACCGCCCCTGAAATTCTGGAGACAGATGCAGACACCAGGGATCCAGGAACAATGCGGGATGGCCAGCCTGGGGCACCTGCATGGCATGCCCAGAGTGGGCTAGGGCCAGGTTACCAGTACACTCACACTCGGGACACACAGGGCAGAGCTGGCCTTCTCCATGGTTTCTCCCCAGGGGAAGAAGCCCCGGAAACCAAGAGTCCCAGGATGGAAGCCGTGCTCCCCATTCCTGAGTCTGCCTTTCCTGAAGGAGACATGCTGGGTTGTGGGCCTCTAGGGTCCTTCTCAGAGCTCTCTGACCCTTATCTTCTGTAGGATTGGGGCTTGAAGCACCTGGCTACGTGGTCCCCAGGGCCATAACCCTCCCTGCTCATCCTTAAGGCCCCTCTGTCTCAGGCAGGGAGAGAATGCGGGTCTCAGATGGGGCGCCTGGCCCCCACTCCCTCAGTTCTCAATCTAGGGACTAGAGGTGTCTGTCAGAAACGCTTTTGCACCTAATCCCAGGGAAGGCCCGACATCTGGGACACCTCTGGGTCCACCTTTGGGGGTGCCCCGTGCTTGCTTTGGCAGCACATATACCACCTTTGGGGGTGCCCACAGCAGCCCCCAAAGTCCCCCACTGCACTTCTGGGCTGGGGCAGCAGGACTGAGGGTGGGGGGTTGGGGAGGAAGCAGGGTGGTGGTCTAGCCTTGTAGCCCGCCCCAGGGCCCCTTTTGGGGAGCTGTGGGCTGCATGCGGGTGGGTTAGAAGCTCAGCCCGGCTTCTCCTCCCGGGCCTTCCGGTGATGAATATCCCTCCTGATGGTCTCGTTACTTATTGATGGCCTAATCCTGCTCGTTAATTCCCCAGCCCTCGTTAAAAATGAAAAGAAGCCGTTTGTGCTTGTACAAACCCCAAGAACCAGGATGGATGTACTGGCACTGGGGGTGGGGTGGGGCGGGCGGCGCCTCCTCATTGGTCAGGAGACCCCGCTCGGCCACGCCCAACGCTGGGTTGGGGGAAACAGCGGGCTGCGGGCAGTGGGGAGCCAGGCACTGGGGTGGGAGGGGCCCCGGTTCTCAGGCCGCGCTTACGGGTTCTTCCGGGGGGGGGGGGGCGGGGCGTGTGTGCCTGTAGTGGCGAGCGTGCGAATGCCTGAGAGACTCACGTCTGTCCCCAACTGTGTCCCTGGGTGTGTGGTTCTGGGTGTACACACGACACATGGAGCCAGCACCCAGGCAAATGCAGTGCGTGCATGCGTGTCAATTCCTGCGGAAATGGGCCCGACTACGTGAGCAGATGGGTCAGGAGCCCTTGAGAGGGTTCAGGAGCCAGGGACTGTGGGGGGCGGGATGTAGGGCCCATCATCAAGGTTCAGGAGCCTCACCAGTTTGCGCTGACACCAGTGGCAGAGGCCGCAGAGGACGACAGTGACGCTAAGGCTGACGGTGATGATGGCAGAGACCAGCAAGACATCGCGGGTGGGCGCCCCTGGGGAGGACATACACAGGTCAGACCCTCATTGGTCAGCGCCGCCCACCCTCCCTCAGCCCTGAGCCCCCCCACCTCCAGAGCAACTACCCTACCCTACCAGCTGGCCCCCACACTGGGAGCTCTGAGCCTCAAGTTCCACTCCCAGCTACGCTTGCTGGCTGACCTTGGGAAGTTCCTTTCTTTCTCTGTGACTCAGTTTCCTCATCTGTAAAATGGGGGAATTGTGCAGGTTGAAGTTCCTCCCACACCCTCCCTGCATGAGCTCCCTCAAAGGGAGATGCCGAGGGTGCCCTCCGCCCAGCCAGGCCTCAGTGCACACTTCTACTCCCCCTAAAAAAGCCATTGCCTCTGCACAGCCTTCCTGCTCAGCCCCCTCCCATCCCCTCCCACACTCCGAGCCACGACTCCAGCCCCATTTCCCCAAAGGACGACATCTGCCACATGGGCCCTAACAGACCCTCAGAAGTGTCTGGCCCTACCTGGATGGCGACATGTGTAGTCCAAAAGGGAATTTCTGGAATCCCTCTGACCAGCCCTTAGCCCCTGCAGCTCAGCTTTCCTTGGACTGGAAGACCACCCAAGTGGCCCCTGTAGGCCCTGCCCTCCCACCCCTTAGCCCCCTGAGCTTGCCTCTCTTGCTCCCCCCACCCAGTGGAGGGGGGGCACAAGGGGGTGAGGGGCACCAGAAGCTTCCATTCCAAGAGCTCAGGGGTCTTATATTTCAGAAGTGGCTATGTTGACAGACCTGGCCCGGGACACAAGCCCCAGGTTCCATGCAAATCCCACCCCTTGCTCGCTGTGGCTTTGGACGAGTCACAGAACCACTCAGTTTTCGCCCATGCAAATGCGGATTAAACCTCCTCCCTGTCTTCTCACAGGTGGTTGCAAGTATGAGCCCAAAGCAAATGCAAGGCAGGCAAAATTTCACCAGAAATTCTCATGTGGGGGAGTGAGTCAAACGAGAGCAGCAGAGATCACACGTGCACTGTGAATACGTATGCACTAGGGTACGTCCTGAAGGCAAGTAGACGCTGTTTATTTACAGAGGAGCCTGCGTGGGCTTTTCGGTGCCAGCGAGGGCGGTAATTAAGAGCTGACGGTATCTGTCTGGTCCTGGTTCCTGCGGTTTTAGCTTCTGGGCTCCCGGTCTCCATTGCTTGGCTACGGGGCATCGAGGAGAAGGGCCCTGTGGTTCGCCCAGCTCTCAGGGCCTTTGGGGTTCCCTCCTATCAGCACTCTAGTGCCCTGGTTGGTCCGTTCACCCCCTGCTTTCCCTCAAGTCCTGCTTGGGTACCACCTCTCCCTTCCCGACTTCCTGAGCCTCCTAGCTGTGGGAAAAGGCCACCTTTACCTGGTCCCCTTCAGTCCACCTGCCAGGCCAACCAAGCTTCCTTCTGTCCCAAGTCTGCAGCCTCCCCGCCCTGACCCAGCCTTGTCCCCAGCTCACTGTCAACATCAGAGCCCATGGCACCCAGGAGCTCTGGCCTGGACAACTAGCAGAGGCCAAGGTCCTGGTCCTGCCCTTTTCTCTCTGGGGTGGAGGAACACAGCTCGGCCTCATTTGCCAAATGGGAGGCTTCTATCTTTAACCACCAGGCTTCTGAGGGTGGTGGGGAGCAGAACAAGGGGGGAGAGTGATGGCCATAACACCACAGGTCACACCGCCGGTGCCCCAAGACTCAAGTCTGTGGTAAAGAGAGGGGCGAACGTACCTCCCAGGAAGGGGACCTGTGCTTTTTCCAGCTGTCTCTGCAGGAACTGCCCCTGCCCCCTTGGAAGAGTCTGGAAGGAGGGCGCTATGTGGGCCAGAAAAGCAGGTGACCTCACACCTTCCTCTGTTGAACTCACTTTTTTTTAAAATATTTTATTTATTTATTTGACAGAGATGGAGATCACAAGTAGGTAGAGAGGCAGGCAGAGAGAGAGAGAAGTAGGCTCCCCGCTGAGCAGAGAGCCCCGATGCGGGGCTCGATCCCAGGATCCTGAGATCATGACCTGAGCCGAAGGCAGAGGCTTAACTCACTGAGCCACCCAGGCGCCCCTGAACTCACTCTTAAAAAAAATAAATTCCATTTTTGGTCTGAGCTTTCTTCAATCACTATCTGCTAAGAATCTAGCATGAGGCACGCAGGACAGGAAAGAGGCAAGATTTCAGGGGATTATCTCTTAGCATGTCAGTGCCCCAGAGCCAGTGAAGGGCAGAACACCCAGCTCGGGCCTCCAGACTCCAAAATAGCCACGAAAAGCCCAAAGGGTGAGTGCAGTTTCTGCCTCTTTGTAGCCGAGTGGCCTTGGACAAGTGTCTTCAGCACTCAGTGCCTTCCAGTAGAGACAACGGCGGCACCTACCCCAGGGGGTTACTGTTGGCACTTGATAGATACATATTGTGATTAAAGTTGGCAGTGTTAGTTTCCTCTCAGCCGTAAACAGAGGGCTCTGGGAGCACAAATTAAGAAATGCCTGCTGGACTAGAGGGCTATCTGGGAAGGCTTCCCTGAGGAGGTGGTATTTGGTGTGGTCTGGCGGATGGCTATGCGGTGAGGGTGAGATGATCCAGGGACAGGGAAGAGCAAGAGCAAGAAGAGGGAGTAGGGGTGGGGGGGGGGGAGGGTCAGGCGCGTTGTCTGAGGAGCTGGTCTAAGTTAGTGGGTGTGAAGTGGAGGAGGACCGGCTGGGAAGGGAGTGGGGCCTGATGGGGAAGGGGTTTGTCTGTCAGGTTGAGGGGCTCACTGTGGGAGCCATGGAAGGTTTTTGAGCAGGGAAGGGTCAGGACCAGAGTGGGTATGAGCAGGCTCTTGATCTGGTAGCTGTGAGGCCGTGGTAGGAGGCCGGAGGCCGTGCTCTGGCTGGGTTCCTCTGGCCTCCCACACCCTCTCCACGTACCTCCCCTTCCACACACATCTTGGCCATCGGGTGACTCTCCAAGAAGGTCTACCTCCTCTCTTGACCAAAAAAGTCTTTCTCAAAACTGCTGTAGGGAGGGGACCCCTGACAATGGAGCCTGTGAACCCCAGAAGCCGGAGGACACGCTGAGAAGAGCCGCCGGAGACCCAGGGAGTGCCCACCCAAAACAAGTAGCCTTCTGTGGGCAGGCAGCATGAGCACTGGGCTAGGAGTCTAGGAGAACTGGGTGGAGGTCCTGTTCTAGCCCCTAAACAGCTATGGGGCCGTGAGCAAGGTGCCCAGCCTCTCGGATGTCCATACCTTCACCTATGGGAGAGCTGACCCTTCCTCTGGCAATAAGCCAGGTGTTCTAGACGCTCCCCACGACATAACAACTTAGTCCTCCCAACAGCAATGGAAGGAAGAGGCACTATGATTGTCCCCATTTTGCAGACGGGGAAACGGAGACGCAAGGGGGGTCAAGAACCTTGTCCAAGGTCATTCAGGTAGGAGGTAGCGGAGCCAGGGTTCAAACCTAGGCCATCCGGCTCAAAGTCGGCTTTCTTTGCTTTGTGTGCTCTCTGGAACTGTTAGCATTCCCGGACTTTGTCAGGGGCTACAGACGTGGATGCCGAGATGAGGCTGAGGTCTCTCAAGCCCTCTTCCAAAAAGCAGCAACATTTCCCTGTTTCACATCTTGGGCGTCTAAGGGGACTTGAAACCATGTATGGGGACTTGAAAGTTCCATTTGAAGAAGGAGGTGTGCTGCTAAGGCAAGTTGCACCCCCTAATGGGGGCCCCCAGGATCCTCTGCTATCATGTCACAGGCAAGGAGTCCGACCCTTCCCCCTGCCCCCACTACTGCCCACCCACAGCCCTCGAAGCTGGGGTGAAACACACGCTTGTCACTGCAAATTGCACGGATGCGGTGACCGAAAGTGACACGGTGTCCTCAGCCAGCAAGCGCTGTTATCATCAAGGGGGTGCAGGTGTGTGTTCTTGCCTGCCAGCCGGAGTGACCCCATTCCCAGAGCACGGATCACTAAGTTTGGGGCTGGAAGGGACTTCTGCTGTCATGGAGTCTGGCCCCAGCAACACACGAACCCTCTGGGCAGCCCTTTCAGGGAAAAGAAGCTGCTTCTGGTAGGCGCTCCACTGCCAGGCGGGGTTAGGGAGGGTGGCTGGGCCCCGTGCTGAGCGGAGTCTGTCTCCCTAGAACTCCCCCACTCCACCCCCATCCCCCTCGCTCCCAAGTTTGCCCTCCAGAGCCACTGGGAACACGTGGCTCCTTCTGCCACATGACAGACCTCTAAATCCTTGCTGACAGCGCTCATGTCCCCTTCCAGTCTTCTCCAGGCACAACCGCCCTGGCCTTTCTAACCTGTCCTCCGATGACATACATGGTTTCAAGTCCCCTTAGTGTCAGCATATTAACATCGGGGGAAAGAAAATATTGCAGCCCTCGTCAGACTCTGACAGGGCCGGGTTCCACAACCTCTCCTTGAGTGGAGGAGACATCCTGGGTCCTGGGGGTGAGACATGGACAAGGGCAGACGGGTAACACTGGGGAGCCGTGGGTGGTGGGGGCAGCTGGGAGTGGGGAAAGCCGAGCCTCCTGGGTCTGATCCCAGGGGTGTCCGGGGAGTGAGGCACAAGCTTGGGCACAGGGCTGCCCCCACCCCCTGCCCAGGCCTGTGGTGGGCACTTGGCCAACTTGAGCTCGGGGTCAACCATGATCTGGTGGGGTCCCATGCTCCAGACCAAGCCCCCAGCGCAGCGGCTCTCGGGGTAAAGTCTGTGTGTTTGAGGAGGCAGCCCACCTCCAAGGGTGCACAACAGGCTCGAGCTCAGCCGTTGTCCCCTCTAGAATGTCTGCTCCTTGAGGGCGGGGCTTGCCCTCTGTTCCCCGCTGTCTCCCCTGCACCAAGGAGGGGCCAGGCTTACAGCAGGTGCTTGACAAAAGCTTGCTGAAAGAATGAGTGAGCAGGAACCCCAGGCCTCTAGGAATAATGATACTAATAGAGGCCACGATGTATTAAATGCCCACTGTGTACCAGACTCCACGGTCTATGAAGGTAAGGGCTTTACTGTTTTGCTCCTTCTGGATATTCTGCAACAGGCTGACAT